AAAATATTATGTTGGCATTTGGGCAAAACTTGCCTGTTGAGCTTTCAAGAATGTTTCCGATAGAGGTCATGTACCTTTTTAACAAAGCGAATGTTAAATAATAAGGGCGGAAAATCTGCAGTCTACATGGTTATATCAGGGTTATTTTTAGTTGCTATTGAACTATATTATAAACCACGTAGCTCCGCAGTGGGAGTGGTAAAATCTGGCGCTCTCTGGCCAATAGCAATATACTCCAGATGTTGCGAATAAGCTATAGTATTTTAGCCGCTCTGCATTATTCTTGTTCTAATACTTCTTTTTTTTTTTTTGAAATCGCGTAATTAGAAAAACAAATTAATATAATATTGTCGCAAAAACAGAAAACAGAAGAGAAAAGAAACTGCAAGTTTGTTAGAAACATTAAAAACTCAGTTTTTTTTCGGCGCTGCTAATGCCCTTTAAAAGTAAAATTTGACGTTTGTGGATTCTGTTATATTGAAACATTTAGTACACGAATTGTTTACATTCATCGTTTTATGCTTTTATCGTGCTTGATATTGATTTATAAATTATAAAACAAATGTGGCGCAAAAAAAGAAAAACTTAATCATGTGATGTATTTATTTGTTGGAAATTGGCCTCACTCACTGACAGCTAATTTTATATTAAATGAGAAGTTTGCAAGCACTTTTACGCTTTCCTAAAAAAAAATAAAACATAGATGAAACAACTTTGCCACTTGTAAGGCACTTCTTGGTAGATTGGGAAACAGGGCCTACTTTAGCGCCAGTGACATCTCTTATGAACGCTGCACCAGGTGAAATTATTCTCAACCATGCTGTATATAAGCCGGTTAAGAGGATGAATCATCGAACCTGATGCGGTAAGATGTATTGCGTCATGTAAACTGGTTCAAAATGTATTTCGTATGAAAGAAGTTTTGAAGTGATAATAAATTTCTATTCATAAAAACCGGTGATCTTGTCATATAGGTGCCAATAACGTTAACGTTAGATTAAACGCAAATTAAATTTCATTTCATTGTGTACCTAAAGGCGTCATGCTTCATGGAGCCAATCAAAAAAAATATTGCTTGAAGACAAAGAAGTATTCGTGTTTGCAACCCTAGGAGACGCAGCTACTTAAACGGCCAATTGGAACAAGGCTAACACCGGGAACTGGAACTTTATTTAAACTATCCTAGAGAAACGTCTCTTTTTGAGCCCGTGGTATATACTAATAGAGCTCGATTATTTTGTTAATATACGGCCACTTTAGTACGGAAGTAATTGAACACAGAAAGCTATAGGTGTATGCAGTAATGGATATTATATATTTGAAAGGCTTTCTTCTTTCTTCGAGGGACAATTCGCAATGTCTTCAAACTGTTTATCCTCAACTTGCGTGAACTACCGCCTTCGGTAGACTCTACCTGTAGTGGTGGGTGCGCCCATGCGCCCGCCAACGACAGCTGCTCACCCCGTTTCTCCGGTCCCACCGGCGAAACACACACACAAACACACATCCCAGTATGGCGTGCACCGGCGGTGCTGCCTAGCAAGCCAAAGCTCCCTCGCGGCTCGGTCCGACACTGAGCTCCGGGGCAACGCTCAACAAGCTCCCAAAGCCCAGGAGACGGTCGAGCGTGGCCGGGCTGCGCCAAAGACGGGCTCAACACGCGCGCGCGGAAGGACACAACACGCGGCCGTGAGGGAGGAAGTACACGTGCAGCGATCAGTCGCAGGCGAGCTAAGGTACCGGGGACCGGCGGCGTCGGAGCAGGCAAGCCCGCCGGCGGCGGGTCTGTGAGGGGAGATGCGTGCACGAGAAGGGCGAGGTCTCCGACCCGCGGTCGTGGCGTCTCCTCGCAGAGTGCTGGACACGGCAGCAGAGGTGCAGAGAATGCTCCGCATGCAGTTGGACGTGCAGGATGCTAACGCAAGCAGACCAAGAGGACGGGAATATCCGGGCCACCAGGTAGAGAGAGAGGCGTAACAAAGGCAAACCGACCTTCCACTAGGTAGACCGGGAAAGAAAGAAAAGAAGTCCAAACCAAGGGCGAACCGAAAAACGCGCCAGTGGAAACGGCCTGACCCTGGGCGTGTTCACCTGGGCTGCTAAGAGCCCAGCATCTGCGAGCACCGGTGGGGTGCGACGCGTCCAGGTTGCCTATTCGGAAATGCTCGTGGAATAGGCCGACAGGTCTGATTCCGGCACTCTGATGGGCACGTTCTGATGAGCGTCATCTCGCCCGATTTACGGGGGTATACAGAAGAGGGGTGGGATTCGAGAGTTAACACGCACCAGTGATTCACGTGCTAGCATTCAGCCGGCTTCAAGCTTTGCTTACTCAACAGAGCGTGGGCAAAGTAGGGAGTCTGATAAGCGCGTGAATCATTGAGACGTGTTTACTTAAGCCTCAGCCACCCTTCATACTATTCCCCCGCCATCCAGTCAGTGTAACGTCCATAAAAAAAGAAAAACGCGCCAATGAGAGTGCCAAAACTGGCGCTGTTCACTTGCTCCACAAGCATTTCCAAATGCGGGTCTGGGTCCTACTCTAAGGACGTGGGATGACGCGAGCTCTTTCGAGACACGACGTTTGTCGGATCCTTGAGCGAGAAGCGGCTAGGCTTAACTCTTTCACGGTATTTTTCTGGGGGAAGGTTCGAGTATCGCGACTTTCTTGCGGAACCCACGCGCGATGAGAAAAATCGCCGCGGGTGAGGGAACGCGACAAAGCGAGAGCTTAGCTTCCGACTGCAGTGAGCCCACGTGTCCGCATGTTCGTGGCTTCCAAAAACTAAGGGGGGAAACTAAAGGGTGACTGGCGGACAAGACTAAGCGCTGAACGTTGGGAAAGGGGCGGCCTCAACTACAGGATGAATGAAAAAGGCAGGTAAAAAAGGGAAAAAAAAGCGTCATTGGCAAAAAAAAAAAAGAATACAGAATGTACGGAAAGTCAACAAACAAAACTGCGACCGTCAAGGGAATCCATTTTCTATCCGAAAGTAAACTAAAAATAGTAAAGCGGAAAAGAGCAATAGAAAGAGAAGCTGACAGTAGATACAGAGAGGACATGGGCATAGAGAAAGAGAGAGAGAGAGAGAAACAATCCAAGTACACCGCGCCGTTTTTGGGGCCAGCGGTGAAGTAGACACATCCTAGAAGATGCTGTCGATGCTTCTAGCACAAATACCATATCACACTGTCACCATGTCACATGCAGCAAATTGCACTCTCGTCCAAGGAGAGCTAGCTCAACACTGTTTGGCGGGGTCGAGGACAAGCGAATAGGACTGCTGATGTTGGCAGGTTCTTTGCCCTCGCTCTACAACCCAGCAACGCCTCGAGAGCGACGTCTATGCACCCGCCCTGCCTGAGGAACACGAAACCAGCGCACTCCCATGGCTTTCTCCTGCCGACCTCACGGATCTCCATCTCGTCTCGTGCGGCCTTGTCCGAAATACGTCATACGAGCAATGGCCGCAAAAAGAAAACAAGCAGGCAGAATCCGTGAAGCCCTTAAAGTCAGACAGAAAGTCTGCATGAATACGATAGTTGGTTTCCTTCAGCGTGTTCGTGGGTTAACCACGAAAAAGGCGTTGTACATTCAAGGTCTATAAGCAACAGTAGAGGCAGCGTGATACCCTCAACGTTCTTTGACTGTGCCAGGTGGGGCTCCTGTGGGCATGCTGAAAGAACACGCAGGTAACATGCCTCCAAGATGGAGAATGCGAAATGTACAGCTTCATTGTCCTGGTCCGGACCCTCCAGGTGCAGTCTGAAATTGACTAAACGTCCTCAGGAAATAATAACCTCGTCTTTCGATGGCGGTTCCATAATCTTCGGACAAAAAAAAAAAAAAAAAAAAAAAAAAAAAAAAAAAAAAAGACAGTAGTTTACTTTAGCGTTTTAATTTATTCACCGCAAGGTTAATGCTGATGCTTCACATCACGAGCTTAAGCCAAGTCCTACGACTAAGAGTAGTTAAGTGGTGCGAACATTGATGCTAGAGCATTTTATTCACATTGGGATAGAAAGGGTGTTCCTTGCTCAAACCATATGGCAAGGATTTTCTAAAACTAACGCAACAAAACGATATATGTTACCAAATAAAAGGAAATATTAAAGAACAATATTTAAACAAAGCTACACCGGTTTATTTACCCGATTTTATTCTCTATACTCGGCTTTGTTCGTACCGTTGTCCTATGTGTTCTATGCATCTGCGCGCGTGTGGGTTGTATACCTCAGGTGTTAGGGAGCCCGTCAATTGCTCTGCTCCTTCACCTTCACCTTATAAAAAAATAATTAGGCATCAAGGATTGCAAATTTAACGTTACAAGCTTTCTAAGGTGAAAATCACATCTACGTGCTTTCTGTACAACAAGCGAAGCGTTTGCAAGAGCGCACCGAGGTACAGCATACTCTGACGAGGGATGACGGCCTCAGGTCAACTGATGAAGGACCAGGACTACGAGCATCACATGCTGCGTCGCAGAGGCAAGTTGCGTGTCTCAAAGTGCGCTGCCACCCCGTAGGAGGACGACGAGAAGCAGCCACGATTGACACTACCCAGGAACGTTGAGAGTGACACGGCACTAGACTACACGAATGCCGCGGAAGCACAGGACACATCCGCGATCAGCGTCCCCTTCAAGCCGCGGTCAAAGTGCTAGTGCATCATACCCAAAGCAGTTTGCAGACACTCTCCGAGATGTTTTTTTTTTCTTGTATGATGGTCCTCTGACATTGGTCACAGAAAAAAGAATAATGCCTGTAGACTTGTTTGAAGCATACAAGCTTCAAACATGTTTATGGCGTGTCCGGATATACTTCCTTCCCCATATATATAGGGAATACCGTGTCGTCTGCGTGATGAATTAGCAGTGCGACTTTGGCTACAAGGACCGTACAGGGTCTGAGAGGGGACGCAGGCTTGAGAGCCATCGACTGTGCGCGGTGCTCCCGCGGCCGGCGAGGCCTACCCGCCTCGCGATGTCGAGGAGCCTTACCCGGACTCCAAAAGCAGCCACCTTGAGGGCGCACTCAATCGTGAAAAGCGCGGTGAAGGCTGCGTTCATGTAGTGGAGCGTACTCTTCAGCGTCTTGGTTTGATTGTAAAACTAGGCGTCGGGAAGGTGGGGGGAGAAGCCAAGATGCACCGGTACCCAGGAGTGTCCCCAACAAAGGATATCAGCAGAAGGGGAGGCAGGTCACAGGAGGAAGAGAGAGAAAGTGGGGGGAGACAAAAAGAGAGAGGGAAAAAAAAGAAAGGCGAAGCAAATGAAGCGACAGAAGAACAAACTGAACTTGAAAAAGAAAACTTGATGAAACACAACACACCAGGTGAACGAACGCTACAGCCCACACTGGGCACCTACTCTACTATGCACCCACTGCGCAGGGGCGGTCACGTGGGCCTGACCCACGGGCCGAGCCCGGTTGGAGCCCCAGTGCCGGTGGGATGTTCACATAGCTGGGCCGCTGGACATACTGGCTACACGCGAGCCCCGGTGACGATCTGCGCACACGAAGCGGACTCGAGCCCCTCGGAATAGTTCGGCACAGTCTAGCTAGTCGTAACCATGTGGTGCTACCTACGTGGGGTAGGCGACGTTCAAAGCCTCCACGAGGCACGATAATAATATTTAAGTTTTGTAAATAAAGTGGCGCAAATCTGATTCGTGTAAGTATTGAACGCAGCGATCGATATTTTTTTTCTCTTCAATCGCAGATGGTACTGGGATTTGCTGAAGATTAGGAAAGCAGAACAAGCTCTTCTCACGAAGCTCTATGCTCGCCATGACTGCTGATGTACTCCTCTCCCCTCGCCTCCTCTCCAGCTAATCGCTCTACTGAAAGTGCAAAGAGCAGGGGGCTTTTTTGGGAGGAGGTGGTTCCATTTTTCTTAACCTGCAACAGGCTATAGCTATCTTGCAAAAAGGTACCTACATTTTTTAGCGTTATTATCGTCGAAAAACCACTCATTAAATACATGTTTTTCCCCGAGAAGAAGGGTTTTCTTAGAAAAATATTTTTTTGCTTTTTGCCCAGATGAATTTGGTGAATATTTAGACTGGTTGATGCAACCAAGAGATGTACTCGTATGACGTGAAAATAGGAATAAAATGACTTAGCTGAACATTATATTTCTGTGTCTTAGAGTAAATTGCATAGACCAAACGACTGCTGCGTTGTCTGGGTTACAAGCGCGTATGAAAAGAAGAGACAGCCGAGTGCACAGCGAGGCAAAGCAACGGAAGGATTTCAAAGAGTAAAGCCCACCTTTAAACTCATCATCGAACGAAAGATCTCAATGTTCAGTTTAACAGACTCAAGGCTACTTCTAATAAAAGGCTTCCATTAAGTTTAAAAAAAAAAGAACTGTGCCAAAGTGTGCAAGTTTGGTACGCCAAATACTATTTTTAATACACTTTAATCCCGGTCGAAAGACAAGTGACGGACGACTCTATGTTTCCTGCTTTCTGCTATGTGTCATACACTTTCTTTCCCTGTCCACAAATAAACAATAAAATATAAGAAAAAACAATATTTTTTGTCAATGCTCTTTTTTATTTTCTCAAAAGAATTAAAATGTAATTGTGAACTATAAAATAACACGCAAAGAGTAACTTTGTACACTGGAACCATCGTTTTCTGTTTTTTGTTGGCTTTGTTGTCGACGACTATAGCCACGAGCGGTGCTTTTGTAAGTAAACATAATTTTGGGCGCTTACTTGCTTAACCAAGAAAGTCAAATGACACGCCTCACAACAAAAGAGAGAAGATTGGGTGTTTTCAAAGGGGAAACATAATCTCAGTTAAGCTTAGTCCGCACAATATTAAGTGCATTAACTTTCAAGAAAGTATTTTTTTAACATTTATTTTAGAAATGCATAAATAGGAATTTTTATTCACGTAGTTTTAACGACTAAATAAGTAATAAAAACTAAATCTTTGAGAGTTCACGCACCCAATCAACGAAAGGCAGTTGCGTCAAAAGATCAATAATTAATTGACGTGCAAACAAAATCTTGGTTACACGACGCCTCATCCGCATCAATCATCTGCCCTATTGTGGGCAGAGGATTGATGCACATCGGCAGGAATTCGAACTCGGCAGCCAAATATTGGTAAGGTGGGGGTTTGCCTCAATGAATACGATGACGCTGTCTATCTTTCCAGTGCTAGTTCAAGCTATCGCAGAGCTTGGTAAACGCATCAGGTGCATACGGGGCTGTTCCCGACACGCGACGCACTACGGCTGTCCCTTTTGGTCCGAACGCAATGTTTCCGAGGGGCTCGCAGTCCGGGAGAAGGCCGGGAGCGGTGGCGAGTCGCGGGGGCAAAGAACGGAACCCCGGCGAGTCTCGGCGACGACGAGCCCTGCAGCCCCGCCCGGAGCGTCGAGGGAGGCCCTCCGACGGGACGAGCATGCAAGCAGGCCGACATGACGCGCTCGGGTGGGCGGCATGGAGCAGCCGACGTGCTCTCGAGCAGTGGCCACCAACGCCGCCCCGATTGCCGGACCCCGAAGACCGCTGCACCTCTTTTAGGCCTGGTACTAGTTGGATATTGGATGGCGAGAAGACAGCCGAACGTCCGGTATTTGCCTCAAACGAGGCTAAGCAGCACCCGTCAGTTCCTGAGAAATTTCCTGTGCGTCCAACTATTTAAACTGATATAAAGCACAAGGAGGTCGCACAGATGAAAATGTTGACACCCCTATTGCTGTATGCAATAATTAGGATAATTGATACTAAAGTGTGAGGCACATGGTATGACAGCCGAAGACGCAACTGAACTATTGCAGTTTGAGAACTGTCGCTGATGTTCGCCAAGACAGTCTGAAATCCATCCTATCAAGCTTACTCGCCAAAAGACGTCTAGTAAACTATGGGAGCCTGATGTTCATACCTACAAATACGTCGGCTGTATTCGCACCTGTAACTCTATACTAACAACTATTTTGGATGCCGATATGAGTTAACAATTAGTTTGTAGATCATAATTTTGGGTTATAATCTCGTGGCCTAGTGATATCGGCAACGCAGCGCTCTTCGGGGTTCCACTGTCACCTCGAAATGCCGTCCCCGGCGGCGCAGCCATGCAGGGGCCCCGGTGAAACACCGAGCGTTTCCAAGGCAGCACGGCGCGCAAGGTCCGGAAGAATATGTCATGGCCATTCGTCGCCCAGCCGACCGCTGCTGTGGTTCTCCGCTGCCCCGCTGGCGCGCGCCTTAGGTACGGCACTAGGCCGATCTTTCGGAGCCATCCCAACGTTCACTACCAAAGACCAGTAGAAGAAGCAGCTGTGGCTTTTGAGAGAACCTGCTGTTTTGCTAAGGGGACGATTTTACAAATGATGTAACTTAACGCTTGACCCTTAACTTGATCTCTGTGCCGAATGAAGCCCGTTTGCAGGCCATTGGTTGTGAATCTCTGATTCAAACTTCATGTGTTTCATGCTCTTCTGAAGGCTCTGAAAGAGAGATTCGACTGCAACGTGGCGGCTTTAAATCTTGTTGGTAGAGATATGAAGAAAATTTACAAGGTCTACTAGACCCAATATTTAAACTTTCAACTTGTTCTAAATTTTTCTTTTGTTGTATTGAAGAGTAAGCGTTCGCAATGCATCACGTATGTGTCCAATAATGGAATTGTTATTTATTTTACAATTTTCACACGCTATTGAAAGTGCAGGCAGTTCCTTGGACGTCAGCAAACGGCAGCAATGTAAGTTGCCAGTTGGGCATCCTTCTGAATTGTGCGGGAGCAATGAAGGAGTGAATGATATGAATATATGCAGTGATATCGCACGTAAATACATCTCTTAGTAAGGGTCATGTAATGATCAGTGATATAGAAGCAAATCGTTTGTCACATATATAATTTCTCCAGCAGCCGTTAACATAGTTAACTAAAACGGATGTCCCACAGACATGCCTTTTTACACAGTCGACTTTGTGTTCGCGAGAGCATTTATAACCCGGAGCAACCTCACTGCTCCTCATCTGGTGTTGGTCCTCGGCACTGAGCAACGCTAAGATTCTCCCAACATGGGAAGGCTACACATGAAGCTCCCTAGATCGAACTGGTCTCTAGGATCCCGCAACCTTCAACGTAGTCACCCGTTTCCTTCAACCACGCAACACCCACATAGCGTGCATTTCGGAACGCGCTACCCAAAAGACGCGCGCCAGCGTAACCAGCGAAGCCAGCGGAGCCAGCGAACGCCGCAGGGCACAAAGAGAGCCCGTAGTTCTTTCCTACTTTACAGCTGGTGACAGTCTCGCGGGGGGCGCACACCCAAGCTCGCGGTAAAGACAACAGCAAAGTCATCGCCCCTCCCATGGGGGACGGAGGTCCTGTGCACAAGTGCACACAGCGCGTGCGTCAGGCAGTGCACAACACGCTGGAACGAAGGCAAAGAGCAGCAAGAGACATGACCATGACATATGCTTCGCTCGGAGCAAGCACTAAGGGCACTCGAACAAGAAGCAGGCCCCGGCCTCGGGCGACGCATGCATGCGCCCCTGCCGCTAGGCCTCGCGGTGCGTCGCTAAGCCTCGCGATGCGCCGCTAGGCTTCGCAATGCACCGCTAGGCTTCGCAATGCACCGCTAGGCTTCGCAATGTACCGCTAGGCTTCGCAATGCACTGCTAGGCTTCGCGATGCACTGCTAGGCTTCGCGATGCCCCGCTAGGCTTCGCGATGCCCCGCTAGGCTTCGCGACGCCCCGCTAGGCTTCGCGATGCCCTGCTAGGCCTCGCAATGCACCGCTAGGTCTCGCAATGCACCGCTAGGTCTCGCAATGCACCGTTAGGTCTCGCAACGCACCGCTAGGTCTCGCAATGCACCGTTAGGCCTCGCAATGCACCGCTAGGCCTCGCAATGCACCGCTGGGCCTCGCAATGCACCGCTAGGCCTCGCAATACACCGCTTGGCCTAGCAATGCACCTGACATCGCAGTGCACCGCTAGGCATCGCAGTGCACCGCTAGGCATCGCAGTGCACCGCTAGGCATCGCAGTGCACCGCTGGGCCTCGCGATGCACCGCTAAGCCTCGCGATGCACCGTTAGGCCTCGTGATGAACCGATAGGGCTCGTGATGCACCGCTAGGCAACGCGATGTACCGTTAGACCTTCTAATGCACCGCTAGGCCTTCCGCAATGTACCGCTAGGCCTTGCGATGCACCGTTAGGCCTCGCGACGCACCGCGAGGCCTGGCGGGGGTTCCCGAGCGAGCCACGGAAGAGGGCCGCGGCCGTGCTGGCGACGCCGGGGCGGCCCACTGCGGGGGCCTGGTAGGCAAAGAGGCCATGCTCGCATTCACTGGTGCATTTATGCAGCTTGGGGGTCTCATCGAGGTCGGTCTGCAGACTACGCCTGCAGGCCGACGACCGCCCCGCGAGCAAATCTCCACCTCGGGTAGCGGTCCGGAGACACGGCTTCGGCGACGCCGTTTTCAGAAATTGAGTTGGTTCATGCAGCGGCATGCCATCCAACACGCACGGCGCAGAAACAACACTTGCAACGCTCGGGACAATTCCGAGTTCACTAGAAACACACTTTCATACTCGTGTGAAAACAAAAGCTGCTAGGAAACAGTTTGTGGATGTAAAGGTTTTCTTTTCGGGATTTAAAAGTGCATGGTGTGCTTTAGTTTGCACGTTAGTTACAGAAATAGAACAGCAAGCCAATTAGCGTTTATGTGCATCGGGTTACAACTTGCTCAGCCTTTATACTTTGAGGGCAACTAAGATATGTAGTATCTATACATTGAAAAGACAGACCTTGTGGTTTCTGAATGTTTAGAGCTCAAATGGTGTGGATTAACATCTAGGTAATTCGAAGCTTTATTTCCCTGCAGCTTTTTATCACACGAGGAATAACCAGTCAAGATAATCAAATACATAAAGTGTTGGTAAAAAAAAAAAAAAACTGGCTTACAAAAGCTATACAGGCTGATTGTTCTAATTTGAACAAATCTTAAAAAAGGTTATGACCGTTACATAGATACCGCCTTCACTTCATACTTATCAGGCTCGGCCGACTTCAGAGAGAAAGGGGGGGAGGGTAACTTTTACAATCAGTGGAATACTTATCTAAAATGCGATATTTAACTCTTTCAACATTGTTTGATGGGTCTCATTGGAATCGCACTCTTGAAGGGAATTATTATTAGCAGCTTAACTAATTTAGACATTTTGCTAAAAGGCAGCGCCATTGGGGATATACATTATAGAGTTTAGCGTTTTGTTGCTGGGTTCTAAAAGTGGATGCAGATGAAGCACTGGCAACTCTGGTGACAAAGATGAGCACGAGAATGACATGCTCGTTTGGGGCACCCATCACGAGCTGTCGGAACTCCCACCTAGCTCACGCTGCCGAAATAATTACCACCTTTAAAACTGACATTTCTACATTACCCAGTAGTTGAAATGTTAAGTCACAAACTTAAGTTATATATTTAAATTATCGTGATAATCATTTCGCCATCAAACGTCTGGCGAGTTCGATAAACACGCAGTGAAAACAGCATCCATGTGATTGTCCGATCCATGTTTGAAAAATATCTTCATATTAAAAGCTAACATCCTGCATAAAAAAAAGAAAAAAAAATTGCCGCTTTTCTGGCCAAGAAATTTAGCGCCAAGCTTACCTTCATCATGAGCAGAACGGTGTTGAGCACAATTAATACCATGATAAAGTATTCGAAGGGGGTTGATACTACTATCTTCCACACTTTGTATTTGAAACTGTCTTTGTTCTTTGGCATATACCTCTGCAGTGGCTTGGCTTGAATTGCAAAATCTATGCAGGATTTCTGAAAGGAAAATAAATAACAAACATGTAGCGCGACGTGCGCGTCGGTCGTGTCCGACATCAACGGAAATAAATTCTTGTAGGTGCTATTAAAACGAAGTCAAGTAAGAGAGTTACAAGAATAGCACGTAGAATGGCGCGTTACGTTTTCGTTTTGTTATAGCTTAAAGAAAACAAAAGCTTTATAAGGAAACCTCCTACTACCAGAAATTTATTACATCCGTCCGTCCGCCTATCTGCCCGTCCGTGCGTGCCCGTTCGTGCTACATACCACACAGCAGAGGATGTCATCAAAACCGGCTTGGTTATCATGACAACGTAAGCACGGCAATGCACACAAAAACTTACTGAGGACTAAACCAATATATACTAATCTTCCTCCAGGAATCGAGCCCCCTGAACTTCTTTGTTCGCAGCATGATGATCTACCTCTGCTTTGGCTAAGGTGTGCACAACGTCTGTTACCAGAATTACCCCATGCCGATGCTTTCTGTAATATATTGCGAAGTTGTAGGGAAGGGTAACGTCCTTTATTAAGTAATATCGTCTTCTTCAATCCCCTAAACAAGTGTTTAATGTGCTCTAAACAAATATAGTGTCATTTAAACAAGTTTGTATAAGCGATCTAATGGTGGCTTCATAAATACTACATTTTACGCAGTATAGGTCCTTGCAGATGTTTTCAAGGAAGAAAGCGCCGCTCACCTGATTTTTGTCGAGCTCGCCTTCTTCGAGTTCTTTCTCGCCCTGCTCTTGAAATGTGATGATGATGAGCGCCACGAAAATATTTACAAAGAAGAAAGGAAAAACGATGAAGAACACCACATAGAAAATGGACATCTCAATTCGGTATCTCGGCAGGGGACCCTTGTCCTCTTCCGTAGAGTCCATGGAGTTCTGGAGAACTCTGCAAAGCAGAAACAGACGCGACATTTCGGTGTCCAGTCGCGCATTTAAATCTAAGTCATGCATCGTCGTTGCCGTTCCTTGCACACGAGTGTTCATTGAATTGCGAATAGGCGTCGCCAGAACAAAAGTATAGCACCTTTGCGATAAGCATAATCCACAGAAAATTTGTAGGGCAAACAGAGATGTAAGACACGAACGATCTCCTTCATGTTCACATCTGTTTGCGCTTACACGATTCCTGAGTACCATGCACAAACTATCCCAGCAAAGAGTCATGCTAGGGCCACAATACTGGCCTGCTACGCAAAAAATATGGATAAAACGAGAACGCCAAAACTCACTGTGGCCAGCCTTCACCCGTCTGCACGGTGAAGAGAGTCAACATGGCGGCCATCACGTTGTCGTAGTGGAATGGCTGGTGCTTCCACGAACGCTTTTCCACCTTGGGGGGCTTGTCAGCTTCCGTGAAAACGAAGAATTCTCCTCTGCAACCAGACACAAGCATACATATAAAACTTGCAACAGTTACCAAGTTGTTTTTTTTACATAGAGACCTGCATCGCCTTTCGGCATTATAGCAGGGGTGAGTACATGGAATACATTAAGTTCTAATAAAAGCGCCAAAACACAAACTTGTATATACGTTAAACACATCCTTCAATAACCAGCCTATTTCCTTCTTCTATAGTTTTTGGAAAAAAAGAAAACGCAAAAAACATCAGTACGGCAAAAGTAGGGTCGGATATTGTTCTGGTGGTCCGCCCTTCCCTATATATAAAAAGGTTCGTGTAAAGACATTTCTTGACTGATTCAAAGGTCACTGTTAAATATATTATGTAAAAATTTTAACCTAAACATTTTTCTGCGTTCAACTAGTGATTCCCACTTTAAAGTATTCATCATGGTGGTGACACTTGCCTCGCGTTGGTGATCATTTAGAACAAATCTAGGACACTGATTTTGAATTTTGTTTTCCAGTTTTTCTAATAGGTTATTGTGGTGGGGATCCCACACAACTGCTGCATATTAAATACAGGGGAGGATAACCGTAAAGCTGTTGATGATATAAGGTTAGTAAGGATCCATTTGGTGCACCTGCATAGTTGCGCCCAAGTTGGTTCTGATGACGGATGTCGCGAACTTGCCTATGTTGGCGTTCGAAAATGTTTCACTTCTTCGAACTCTCAACACCAAATTTGACAAAATTTGGACATAAGTACAACTAATATGCGCGTTTTTTCAAAAACGGGCCGACATCGCTTGTCAAAGCTGAGGTGTAAGGTTTTAACGAACGAACTAATTTATCACAAGCTAATATGTAATTTTATATTATGTAAACATCGGTAATCAATCTTTGAAATTTATAACGGACTATTGTATAAACAAATTATTTCAACTTTTGTTTTTGAGAAAACCGGTCAACATCCAAATTTGTTTAAGATCACAAATATATATATATATATATATATCGAAGAATTGCCGAACCAGTCGAATTACGGATTCAATAAACGTTCGTGTCCTTCCTTGTTGTGATTAAAAATATAATTGTTTTATAGACTCTGTCAGGATTGCTGCTGAAAGGCGTGTTTTGGCTATTGACTGAATCCCTCGTGATGCTTGTACTAAGAAAACCTTCCAATAAACGAAATGTTCCGCTTTTCCTTCACTGAGTTTGGAGATTCAGTTTCGCCAGAGATTAGGCGTTAAATACTAATAGTTTTCTGAATATGCTGGTCCATTTTTTTAAAATAATTTATTATGTGGTGACGACGAAACGAGAAAAAATCAATCTCAGTTTTTTTCTGTGAATTGTGCCCCGATGTTAAAAAAATCTTGGATGTCTTGGGCAACTTTATTCTGCTGAATCGAGTTATGTGGACATGTGGATAAGCGCCATCGATGCAAAGTTTACTGATCCAGAGCGTGCTAAAATAGAACGGAAGTAGAAAGAAGAGGTCACAGTAGTTGGGGACGCCCCCAAGGTGACCAAAAAAGCTGTTGGCACCAAATCAGCTGTCCCTTCCGTCCGATGGCGTCTTTTGGTTTTGGTCGTCATAGGGGCGTGTCCCTCCAAACCAGAAGTATCCCCAGACTTCACCTCTGGTGGCGTCATGTTGCCTCCTGAAGCTTCCTACCTCCATGTAAAATAGTGGGTGCTCGAACGCCGCCAGCTCGCTGAAGCGCATGGCGTGAACCAAGGTGGTTATATTAAGGCTTCTCATATTGACTCCTTGGCGTGGACGCGTTACAGACTGAGTGTATGGATGGATGAATAGGTGAATATAGCTAAGCACTTTCAATCAAGCGGCGTCTCGCGCAACCTGGCCAGCGATGCCACTTGCCGCGTTTGCTTGACAAACGAATTCTTTTTTGACCTATCGTAGTATTCAGGACCCACCCACAGAGAAGATAGATTTTATCGCTGTTTATTTTGAATATTGCAAGCTTAAAGAAAACGCGTCTGATTTTCCTTCTATAAAAGCAACATTTTCATGCGTGTTTATCGGTTAGCTCGAAAAGGCGCCATCACGACAATGATGTAATGCATCTTGCCAGTGTTGGGAAGCACTATAAGTACATCGTACTTGAGGTAGTACTTCAAGCAGGTTTAGAAAACTTGTACTTTACTTGAAGTACATTTTCTGAGCGTGTAAATGTAAATTACCTAGAGTATTTTTCGGTACTTTCCGAGGAAAGTACAAGTGCCGAATTCAAAGTACTTTCCCCCAATTTGTTCCTTTTAAATTTTTATAACACAATTATGCTTTGTTAACAAATAAGTGCCTTATAAGTTGATTGTGTTAAATAGTTCGTTAGCAAGAATAAAACAACTACTTTGTGGCCACTTAATTTCATTTGATATTCACCGCCATTTCCAAATATACCTAGTGGTTCCCCGATCACGCCAATAAAAAATGCCAATACCAGTTTAAGAAAAAAAAAACTATGAAAAGGCATCCTGAAAGATTGTGTTCAATAGTACTTGTAATTTCCTTCAAAAGTAGTTTGTATTTATTGTACTTTACTTCAGGTACCTTATGCCCTGTGCACTTATTACTTTACTTGAAGTACACAACCTATAATTTATTGTGTACTTTACTTCAAGTACTTTCTAGAAGTACTTCACCCAATACTCCATCTTGCATACAAACTGACTGCAGCAAGACACGTGTTTTCCCAGCTTGACATATTCTTATAGGAATCTGGGCTCGATCGAGGGGGATCGGTGGCCGAGTGGGCTAGCGCACACCAGCTCGGAGCACGTAGAGCGAAACCTAGATGCATGCCATGTAAGACCTAACTGCACGCCGTGTAAAATGCTGTGTGCAAAACTCGGATGCATAACGTAACAGATCATCGACAATGCAAACCATTTAGGACTTCACATTGAAAGACGTCTTATTAATCCCGCAATCATATTTTGGTCGGCATCTTATAAACGTGGAGGGTACACAATGCTTATAACAATTATGCTCCTTCATTATCGGCCGTTTCTGCGTAACCTGGCAATGGGCGGAAGCTACGAACGCCGTAACCCAAACTAAAGCGACGGAATAAATCGCGTGATAGACCTTGACTGGAGGAGTGCACAACGACGGCAAATTGTCACGTGCCTTTTTCCGGCATTTTGATTGGCTCGCCAAGACTCCAGCTTCAGCGCCAGTGAATTGCGTTAAATATGAATACATTATTTGAGACACACCTTGAACTTCAACACGTAGGTGTACCAAGAGCAACTAATTTTTTCTGTCGATTAAGCGAAGAAGGCAACTCATCATTTGGTAAAAAATGAAAATCGGCTTTTCTCAAATCAGGCAATTTTCCAACTTAGTTAAAATGGTTCCATATCGCTCGAGGGTTTATACGGCGTACAAAAACAACACCATAGTTCTTGTTTTTTAGTTAGTACCTTTTGCATAAATTCCCTCTGAATAATGCGGGTAACATATTTAAAAAAAGTTATATAAATGCAATACTCACTTGCACTCGGGCTGCGTGAGCTTGGACAAGTCGGTACAGTAGTGAAACTTGCCGTTGAACAGTTGAACGGATATCACAGCAAAGATGAATTGGAACAAAATGTACACAATGAGGATGTTGAACACATTCTTCAGGGACGTCACAACACAATCGAACACGGCCTGAAAACAAGCAGAATGACAAGTACCGTGTCAGGTCTGACTGTTAACTGTACACACGAGTACAAGAAGCGTATATAATACAGAATGTATATACACGATTACAAAGCAGGCAAGCTGGTACATGTTCGCTTAGATACTGAAAGTGTGCATGTGTTTAGTTTTTAATAGACCTCGACTACACTAGCTGAACGAGGACTTGTGGCATATGGTTAAAAATTACGTGCAACAAACCCTTAAATGCAGGTAAAGTACCAGCAAAAATAAATAAATATCTGAATATATCCAGTCATCTTGCACAGTTAGAAAAATGGCGAAGATGTACACCTTTCCTGATTTCTGGTGAAGTGTTTTTAATAACGTTTACACGATGGCTGGCAAAATCCAAAATGAAATTTATAACAGTTTAACATCGAATTACGTTCATTTTATAGCCGATTGGAAAGAAATATTTTGCTTGATTGTAGACGTCCATTCCGCATTGAAGTTGTTTCGTAAACTTTAATTCCACAGAGGTCTCGTTTTTCAACCGGAAATAACATTTGCAGTGTTTTATTTATTTATTTATTTTAATTTCTTACGCTTTTTTCTTAATGCGTGGGGGAAGTAAGCACGGGAAACTTGCCTTTAGCTTGGGAACGCGCTTTATAGTTTTCAGCGGCCGTAGCACTCGTAGCACTCTCAAGGACTTGATGGTGCTGAGGTTCTGGCCCGTCGAGCTTCCGCTGTTTCAAACAGAACAAAGCACGGGATCAGTAAATGATCCTAATCAGAAAATTCAAGATGTAGGGAGCACAACATTCCGGAAGGAACGGATAATACTTACTAGAATGATGTTGCTTCTTCTAGGAAACAAGAATGTATTAACGCTCACTGCACATTGTAGGTCCTCACTTAAAAAAAAAAAAGAATACGCGCAAATTTTCGTCCTCTAAAAAACAGGGCGTATGAGAAAATGACGCTAAATTTTTTCAGTGTCCTCTTAATATTCCACTACTCGACGTGCAGTTTCTTTTCTCGCCTACACTAGCTGTTGTGATCGCTTACACTTTCCCTTCTTCAGTGAATTCTATTATTTTTCAATGTAATTCTACTATAATGAGGGAAACCAAGTTTCGTAAAAAACAAGCCCTAGGCATGATTGACGGGGTGGGGGGGGGGGGGATTTGCGGTAGGGTCTCGGAAAAAGGGCAGACAAATACGCAGAGACAGGACAGGCGAAGAGGTCTGTCTCGCTTCGACAACAAAATAAAAAAAGCAGTTTCTCTTGCCATTCAGCTAGCCTGAAGTAAACGTTGAAAGCAAGAATACTTCTTTTTGCTTTCGCAAATTTTCGTGGTGCCTTCGATAATATTTCAAAAATTAACTATTATTTTATACGAGGAAAAACAAAGCGGTACCTAAGTTATTTTGATGTTTTGTGCCCAGAAGGTCTACAAATAAAGTACGAAGGGCTTTTCCAACGAATGACCGGCGCTATCAACCGACAAGTAAGAAAGCATTTTGATGGTTTTGTAAAAGAGCCGCCTTAACCAGCTATCATGCCTGTATTTTCGCTGCATATGAATGGAGAGCAACAAAGTTTCGGCTCGCTCTCCAATTAAGACGTTGGGTCCTCAGTGTTGCTGCCCACCTATACCGTCCAGTAATCGCTGCCGAGAATGGCGGACAGCCGCATCTGCGATCACCACGCATGTGCATAAGCACGACTCCCCCCCCAACCAAAAAAATGCGCATTGAGAAAAAAAAAAAAAAACCCAAAAAAACTACTGGGTTTTGTTCTTTCCTTTCCTCGCTTAAAATGAAATTGTACTAAAAAGTAGGCATACAATTCGTCTGCTCTTTTGGGGACGAGCCCATTCGTACAGTGTACCAAAAGGCAGCACCAAGGCCCAGAAAGCACAGAGACGAGAGGCGGGAGGTCTTACGCAAATGCGAAGGCAATGAGTGCGCAGATGACGACGATGGCGTCTAGAATGTTCCACGAGTCCCGGCAGTAAGCTCCCGGATGAAAGATGACGCCCTGGTCGGCAATCTGCAAAGGCACCGACAATTCATCAAAGACACATTCCTTGAAAATCAATGACAATCTCAGAAACGAATGATTTCTTCAACTGACTCGAGCGCACGTAAATCTGCCCATGATTTTTTTTTCAACGTAACATTATTTTTTTATATTATTCAACTCGGCTCTCCCTCCCCAGTAATTCTGAAAAGAGATTTAACTAACGTACGGAAAGAGTGTTCATGGGAGCGTGTCCGTAATACCACGGTGTCGGGTGACATGGTAACGTCACGTGGTTTGACGTCAAGCGATCTCGTGACGTCAGGAAGCACTCGTGTGAGTAAACTATCCGTTCCCATCTGTTTGATCCAAAACAATTTTGGGTTCGAGGTTTGCGGAGTGCTTATCGTGCAGTGCGACACGAGCACACAAGTACAATGAAACACAAAGAGAGACACAAAGACAAAGAACACAATATACAGAGACTTAAAGTATATGCGATAGTTTGAAAAGAAAAGCAAGATGGGTTTTATTTTTCTCTTTTGTAAAGTTTTCTTTCTATCTTGACGTAACCGAGCTACGAAACGGTCGAATTTTCGGTCCTAAAAAAGGAACTCACAAGTGGGGCTCGCTGGTTAGGCGCAAGTATTGTGATACACCTCGGCTTGCAAATAGATGCATTCAATGCTCTGGCAGATTATCAAATTTGCGTTTGTAATGGATCAGGGCGTTGGCGAAAATCGTAATTTCTAGCTCTAATAAAACGCTGTGTGAGCGTCATTAACTGATCCGCATGACTGTAATGAACAATGGCGGCATGAACCGGGGACAGTACACGCGACAGCCTGTTTGGGTCACAAGTTTGGAATGATAAGGCTGCACGAATTTTTGCGAACTTTTTAAAAGTTACTAAAAAATCTATCGAATGTGAAATAATTTATAATTGTCACGTGCAAAGAGAATAAGCAAGCGCGTGTGAATCGTCCCGTGTTTTGTTCAACAGAAAGGCTTCAAGATTCAAACTTCTTGTGCACTGCAATGAAGAACAGAAGAGCTCTATTATTAAGATCTTGATTAAAAACGTATAGCCAAGGTAAGAAAAAACTATTAATAGAAAGAAACAGGCTATACCAGCTGCCAAAACTAAAGCTCATGCTTTTTTTAGTTTTTTGGGTGTTGTATCCGCAGTGAAAAGCACAATGTAAACAGGTGCGAACCGTCGTAGTTTTAATAAGAGCTATGCATAGTCTCAGGTGTCATTACCACCATCGTAGTCGCTGCGCCATTTCTAGCTGAATCTCAAGAAAAAAAAAACACACACAATGAGACCAGGAAAAACAAAAACAAAGAAACAAATGGTTGTCACACAAAAGCAATGGAGTCTTTTTTTTTTCGCTCTTAATTGTAGGTTTTATTACATGTCTGACCGAGCATATCGCTAGCCTACCTACTTCCCGCCTGGACAGGGACCCAATGGTCTCTGGCTGAGTGCCCACTTTGTATTGCTCGGGCTATTACTTGCTCACTATACGAGCTTTCTTACACTGCCTAAATTCCCTCCACCTCTGGAAAAAGAAAGGGTACTGGCGTCTCACCTTAAGGAACATTTCGACGGTGAAGACGCCCGTGAAGGCGTAGTCGAAGTAGTTCAAAATCTTGTTCTTGGGCGATTCATCATCGACGGGGTCTTCGGCGGCTAAGGCAATGCTACTCAGCGATATGGTGATCATTATGAACAGCTCGAAGTAACGCAAGTTCACGATGAAGTGGGCGGCTCGACGGATCCTGCGGGGGCAAAAACACGATGCGCAGTCAATCGCATATATTTGTTCGCGAGGTCACCAAGCACTTCCCCCTCCCCTTCCCCCTTCTCCTTCCCGCCCCTCCCCCCCACCCCCCCCCCCCCCCCCCAAAAAAAAGCAACAATATTATAAACCATTTCACAGCAAAATGAAAAAAAAAATGGCGGCAATCATTTTTTTTTAATTACCGAGGACGTAGTTCTTAATTTTTTTAACGTCAGCTGACAGAGTCCAGAACAGGGCATTGACAAGATACAAGACCTGCGTCAATGTTCGGAAGAAAATCGTGTTCATTCGCTAAGGACACGAGTTTCAACCGCATGCCAACGAATTAATCGTGCGCGATATGGGTTGGCCTCTGATAGGTGGCGTGAAACATCGATACTCGTTGTCACCTCGCGAAGTAGTTCTTATGGTTGTCGAAGGATAAAAATATGATTTTTGCTGTTTGAAGCGCATACGTCTTAGTAAGATAACATATCTAATCTAAAATGCCATCTACATATAGTTCAATTCTTTACATATAGGAAGAAATTTAGTAGTGCTGTGCTCCACGATGAGGCGGATTTATATTTAGTACGGTTTGTGAGGTGAAAACGAGTATAAAATACCAGTGGTAAGTATAGTTGGTGTAGCATTGTAAACAGGGAAACAACAGCGCGAAATACGACACGCTCAGAAAAGGTGTACACACACCTTCTCTGTGCTTTTCCAAAAAAGCAAAAAAAAAAAAAGCCACTTTTTCTACGCAAGGAACAAACCTGTGTTTATGCTGCTTAAAACATTTGGGCTTCGGTGTACGACCTCTGTCCACCCTCGCACATAAACGTCCCAGCTTACAGAGAGCCGAAAGAACCAGAGGAAAGCCGTTCCGCTGTGCAACTAACATGACGGTCCTTGCTATCAAAGAGGTTCTGGGGCGATCCGTTCCGGGGTAGGGGAAGAGGTAAGGCCTCATAGTCGAGCGTATCCAGCAATCCTGGGGCCTTCCAAATAATTTTAATTTTAAAGCGGGAAATGTTTTTAACGTTATTTGCAATCCGGAATTTTGTAAGTCCGTCCGTGCATTTTCCCGCTAGATTTAGCGGAAAAGTGTCGTCACGTGACGTCACGTGACGTCACGGGACCTATACACCTTGGAAAATTCATGGCACGTCACCTATACGTCAACTAAGATTCGCGCTAAATTTAACGAAGGAATTCACATCTTGTGGGCAAAATCATCAATAGAGTTTTCCCACTAAATTTAGGGAGAAACGGGACCTATAAGCCAATTCGGTTACTCACTAAATTTAGCGGGAAAATTCACGTCTTTTGACCTAGTTTTTACTTTAAACTAAACTTTAGTTTTCCCGCTAAATTTATCGGGGAAAATCGGCATCATGTGACCTGACGTACTGTGACCTATACACCTACTTAGTTTCCCCTCTAAATTTGGCAGAAAAATAAACGTCAGGTGTCATATATTTATAAATTGAAAAGAGAAAACAGGTTATTCACTACCGTAACGACGGTTTAACGCCTTCCGAACAAATGAAACAATTACTCATAAATACAGCATTTCATGCATTAAAAGACTTTGAAGAAAAGGTCGGAGCCTATTTCTTTTAGTTCTTTTGATAGCTCGTGCAAGTTTAGTGCTTTGCGTAAATAAATTTGATCGTTTATTTGGCATTGTTACCCAAAATCTAAATGGTGATTTTTTAATTTAAAATTGTAAAATGTTTTAGATTTTTTTGTGTGTGTGTGTTGGTGTGTGTGTGCGTGGTTGCTTTTTTTGCATAGTATAATAGGGCTATATTAGTAATATCCAGAACGTTTTTCTTTTTGACAAGTGAGTAGAGACAGTGCTATTTCCGATAAAGTCAAGGTTTTCTATTTTACAAATTTAGGTGCGATAGGTGTTCGTCGTAAATTAGGTTTATTTCGTCTGGACAGTTTTGCTAAAGCCAAGTAAAGAACCATTGTAACAAACTTTAAAAATGTTTAACATCTCAAAAAATGCAAAAGTTAAAAAAAAGTAGACCCGAGTTTTTAAGCACCCATAGCTTTTATTTTCTCATAATCTAATCAATAGTCTTTTTTATTGCAACAATGCAAACATGCAAGCTGAATCTCAGTTCAGCTGAAACCTCAGCTCGCCTTAAAGACCGACGAGCAGTCAGAAAGGGGGAAGCGCTCTTTCAATTCTCCCCTTCCATTTCAGGCAGAGAGGGAAACCGGGAACTCGTTTTCTGCCTGACAGAATACGACTCTATAGGTCGGCCATTAAGGTCAACTCTGGTGAAAAGTCGGTTTTTCTTAAAGTGTCAAATTAAATTGAAAGCCAGGTCTGGTCAACATGAAGTTACACTGCGCGACACGTTTAACACAAACACGACATCTACGACTTTCGAAATTTACTTAAACAGGGCATTGACGGATTTCAACTTTTACCGGTATAGTTGGTGCTCAGGATATGCAGTATTCACCCCACTAGCAACTTCAGCAACAACTATACACAAAAAAAAAGGCGCTTGTGTTTTTTTTTGGTGCGAACTGCGTCACACTTTGTCCTTTTATCCAAGATATTTATTCGCCATGAATTCAACGGCCATAAATTTGTCCTTGTATAATTGTGTTACCTTCTTCCAAAATGGTCTTCATTCGTCTAGTTTCTTGATAAAATTTTGATTGCCATAATACTATTATGGCGCCTGCCCTACCGAAATAAAGCACGACTCTATCAATAGAGAACTGGTACGATCCAATCTAAAAATCCACAACAAACTAGCGAGAAACAAAGGTTATGGAAATCGGATAAGCGAACCTTGCAATATTTCAAGACCGGAAAAGTTAACGATCAAGAAACAGGTTTATGTGTTTGGTCCCTCTTAAAACCTCGATTTCGGGTTTTCGCAACATTGAAGGTCAAGAAGCTTATTTGTTCTTCACTGTTATTTTTATATTATTATTTATTATTATGTTTGCGATGCCCTTTAGTTCTCGAGATCCGTCGCGCGAGATTCCCAGCTATCTTTCCGCAAACTTTACGTAAGGCAGATCCAGTTCCGTTGAGAGATATAAAGTGCCGACAACTTTGTAACGGTTTGCTTTACACATTTTAATCGCATCTTAGCGTCGCAGCACTCAAATTTCAAAATAAATCCTACGTTATTCCACTTTCATAACTAAAGTGTCAAAATTGTCTTATTGTCCCACCGGTACCCCTTTGCGTCGTTCATTACGAAACAAGAACGATTACGCGAAGGAGTGAACAATTCGTGGAGTGGCGCTTCCCTGCAGCAACGCGCTGCCATGTGTGGAATCCGGTTTCCAGGGTAATCCGGATTACGCTGATAGGCACATTTCGTTTCACCATGAAGCTACCGTTACGCAACGAACCAACTGAACCAATCAGCCAGTACTAAAAACGCAATGTCACGGCTCTCGCTGCGCACGCGTGTGCATCTCATCAGCGCTTATACCAATAGTGCAGAATGAGTGTACCTTGGCGTTCCACTTTTAATTTGTGTGTCCGTGTTCGTGTGTCTTCCCACCCTTGATGGCGCTCTGACTCAGGGTGAACCAGAGCTTAGGTGCCGCATTGGCCATCTTCTTTTTATCACGTAAGAAGCCCGAAAGATGCCTAAGTTTATGTATATTAACTGACAGCTCGATAAACGCAGTACGCAGTTTATTACGTTCGGGGAATTTCATCCTCAAATACTGCAACCTGATTGGCTGCTGAGTGATAAGAAGATGTTCGCCAGTCCCTGCTCTTTCTAAGCTGTCATTGACTGTGCGGAGCGCACGTTTCGTCTGCTTCTTTTGCAGAGGTTTGTGGTGACGTCAGAACGCCGAGCTGTGATTGGCTTTGATTAAAGGATAATTGGCAGACCCCAAAGCAGGCTGCCTTGAGGTCTACTTATTATCCTTCAATCAGAGCCAATCAGAGCTAGGCATTCTGACGTCGCCACAACTCCCGTCAAAGAAGCAGACGAACTTGCGCTCCCGCATGGAGAAAATCAAAGAAAAAATTCTGGACCTTAGAAGACAGCTGTAGCGTTCCAACTGAGCTGCGGTAAAATCGGTTTAGGAGCACCGAGGCTACTGAAAGCAGAATTTCGACTTACGGATTTGTAGGAGAACAAATAAACATGCAGGAGTACGGCATCATCGGCTTTGGGCCAGTCATTTCGTCCTCCTCATCGTCCCCTCTGGCGTAGTCTGAAGAAAAAAAAAAAAAAAGACACATCAGAGGTTGAAGACACGATTACCAGTGTACGCTGCCATGTTGACAGTGTTTTTCAGAGCGTATATGGGACCGTATCATCAAGATACGCTAAAGATTACTATTTGCCTGTGTGTTCCACCATATCAATTGTAAGAACCAAATATTTGCAAGCTCATGACTTGCTGAAGTCACAAATCGCTGAAGCTGAAGACATGGCAGGGAGCAGGCTTGGATCACGGGGTTTCCTTTCGGGAAACATAACCGCTTTGGATAACTAATTTCGAATAATTAACTCAACAAAAAAGCCATTGAAGAAAAAAGCCGACGTGTTCGATCTCGATCATAAACCGACGTGTTCCATCTTGATCTGACTGAGATAAGAGACACACACAAAAAAAAAAGTACTTACCGTCGTCCGCATCAATGTTGTTGTTGTCGTTGGTTCCTTTCAGTTTGGAGCCGGTTCCTGTCTGATTATCTTGGCTCCCGCCGCTAGGTAGCCGAGACAAATAACAAAAAGGGTCAGTTTAGAAACTAATGATTAAACTAGGATATGTTATAGTGTACCTTGTTAGCAAAAGTCGACCTAGCGAATTTTACAAGTGACTAACGTATTTACTCTTTTAGGTACATGTGTATAACTCAGTCATAACTGATATTCACTTTCGTTTCACTTTATTTTAGTCACTGTCTGTCAATACCATATGACAAGAGGAGAAGTTACTTTTTTGTAACCGTGTAGGCGCAAAGATAATTTTGCACTTACACAAGTGCTTGAGCATTTCTGCGATAAACGAGAAGGCCTGCAATTCAGACTGTCAGAGATTTTTGTGATCCTTAAGTGCATATATCAAACAATAAAACCAAACGCCTCACGGAAGATGGGTCAGGTATTCAAATGATATTTTATTTCAAGCGGCAACAAAATATTGACAAATGAAATAATATATCAATCTGTAGCAACTGAACGAAATATAATAACCAAGATAGCGAATCATATTGACAATATAATATTTTCCAAAAGGAGTCCTGCGCTTTTGAAGGACTATTCTAGAAAATTTTGTGTACAGTTTTGAATGAAAGGAGTAACATGTATTATTGTTTAAATTCTCATTGACGTTTTGGTATATTGTGGTATTGCAGGATGCAGATAACGCTACCCAGATCTGTGGTAGGCTTGTGAGGAAACGCTGTGTTTGGTGCCGCTATCCGGTATGTTACATTTGCTTGACGCAAAATATTATCTCTCAAACCAACAGTTACAAACTGAGTCCAGTTTTAAAGATGGAATTAAGAGGAAAGTATTGACACGTTATTTAAACGTCTCGATACGTGTTATTTAAACGTGTCATTGGTTCCCTGCAGCAAGACAAGCTGCAGGGAACCAACGAGTCTCCAGAGTTACCCAGTGGTGTACGATGTCAACACCACATTTCGATTTTTTTACCGATTAGACTGATAACAAAATCGCTACCGACACCCCCTCCCCCTCTTCACTCTCCCCCTTTTCACGGCGCCGTCAATAAATAGGTGGAAGGATAGACAGGGGTGAAATCTTTAGATCAGACTGCGGCTTGCGCCACCAGGCCAGTGCTATTTTGCTAGCTGGCCCGTTTGTCGTCGTATCCAAGCGCCATCTCTCGCTACATCTTCGCAGACTTGTAGTGGTTGCTAAATTGCAACAACGCGGTGCAACCTGTGTTATGAAGCTCTAGGTCTGGAGGTCTACAGTTTAAAAGAAAGAACGGAGTACTGACACAACAGATAGAACGAAGAGCGTGAGCACTTACAACTGGAAGCTTTTTCCTTTCACAGGGGCACTGCTCTGTGGGGAAGGCGGGCAGATGTTCACCTGCGGCGGGTCCAGACCGGCACCTGCCGCCATCTGAAGATCTGCTATTTCCTTCTCCAACTCTTCTTTGGCCCTCTGCGACAAAAATGGCGGCCAATAAAACTCTCAATAGCAGCCGCAACGAGGCTCGCGTCTACCGCAATGTCACCTCCCCCCCTCCCCCCTCCCCGAGAGATCGCCCACCTCATATTTTCTGCCTTCATATCTCCGTGGTGGGAGGGGATACATTCGGGATTTTACGGTGCTCCAAACTTCAAAGCCGTAGATTTAATCCCCCCCCCCCCTTTTTTTTTGTTGTTTTGTTTCACGATTCCGCCGCCAGGCCTTTCCAGTTTCCGCCGCACATCATCAGGTGCTTGCTCCCCTGTTACCACTTCAGTTTTTTTTTTCGCTAGGTGGCGTCTTTATAGAGTTGTGAGTTCAACAGGCAAGTCACACGCGCTTGTCGAAATATCAGAAGACACCGTCGAAAGGCGGAGTAGCCGAAAGCTTAGAACAGGCGTTTAGAATTTACATACGATGACATTACAGTGAAAGCCGTTGTGGATTTATGGTAGCCTTGTAAGTTTAATTACGTTATTTTTGTCTACTACTGACTTTTAGTGTAGTATTTCTCAAGTGAACTTCACTTTCGAACGAGGCCTATTTCTTGTCGATGGTAAATATACTTCACAAGTTCATTAATCCCGGTTATAAACTGCGAAGTAGCCACAACAAAAACTTTCAGTGTCAGATTATTTCAAGTGGCGCGTGGCGAATAATTTTGCCACTATAAGTATAGTGGCAGTTATAATTTTCCGGATACTACTCTCCGCCTCGATGGCGACAACTTTATTAAAATTATTTGTGAATTTTGCGATGTTGGAGCTGTTAATTGTGAAGCTAGCTTCATCCCCACTACGGGTCTATAATGCTTTTTTGACCAAAACGCTAGCCAAGTTTTTTTTTCTTTCTTCTTTATCATAGCTAAATTTCAGTTTCGATGGCGCAACATATGATCATAGTCCCGAATTCTAACGACATGGACGGCAGTTCATAGAAATTGCGACGTACCGCCACAACCAGCGTGACCGCAGCCATTGTCGTTTTTACGTCGCGGACGCTCAACTTCACGGCAGAAATGACAGTATACACATAGTCTACTAAAACAAAATGTTTCAGACGTGCAAAGCGTATTCATGAGACATCGCTTTCTCCTCTCGCAACGCATGTTCAGAACTAGCTCTAATTTATCCTACGCCAAGAACAACTATTTTCGCTATGAGGAATGCACGATTATGCGCAAGCAGTGTACATTCCATCCATTCAGGATCGTTGTTCTTGGTAGACGATACCTGAGAGATAGTTTCGAGCGTGTGCTACGAACAACCTCCGACAATGTCCCGTTGAGTACCTCCTACACTCTAAAAAAAGCCCGTGAGTCTGCTTTCCCGCACAACACTCGGAGAGCCAATCACCGCAACTTACGGAGGCACCTCAGCGAATGACAATGCCGAAACATATGTTTAGACCAAAAAACGCAGTCTGAGTTGTGACATTAAGAAATGTAAGCGTGACGTTTTGCATTGCTTAATAATGTCACAACTCAGACTGCGTTTTTTGGTCTAAATATGTTTCGGCATTGTCATTTGCTGAGCTGCCTCCGTAAGTTGCGATGATTGGCTCTCCGAGTGTTGTGCGGGAAAGCAGACTCACGGGCTTTTTTTTAGAGTATTTTGACTACCCTCGATCAGTTCAATAGCGAGATTCGAGAAAGCTGAGAAAGGCCACAGCTTCACCTCCTTCTCCTCTTCGGCGTCCTCTTCCTCGGCTGCGGTCAGCTCCTGGGCGTTAGCCAGGTTGTCCACGGCAATGGCCAAGAACACGTTCAACAGTGTGTCTGGCGAGGGGGCGTGTCAAGGAGGCTCGTAGTTGGCTTGGTTTAGGTTAGGTTATCGTCAATGTATTAACAAAACACTTCAAAGAAGAAAAAAAAGTGTTTACAGCAAAAAGTTAATGACAAGAGCAACAAAAGAGAGGACTGCCAAAACCGAGCTTCATGTCCACCGTTAGATTTACTGTCCGCCACATCGCATTTTTCTATTTTGATAAGCTTGAATCTCCGGTATTTTTGATAATACGAGATCCGTAGTGAGAAGAAGTTAAGGAATTCATTTATTTTTGCCAGTGGACATGCGAGGATAAAACGTAAGGTGTGTTAGTCTTATTTTTCATATTAATTTTTAATAAGATAAGGTATTCCTTTGTAAACGGCGCACTTTAACTTAAAAATACAGCTTAAACTTTTTAGATGCTTATATAAAAGCTTATTATTTGGCAAGCTAAAAACCGCATTTCTTTGACCCGCACTGCGTGACCGAGTCCGCACAAACGCAATTTCGACTCTTTTTTTAAAATTTAACTCACACGGGTTTGTATATTAAGCTATATTTGAGGCTCAATTTGCTACCCCGCATAAGCGCATTACTTCACATTAGTAGTTTTGATGACAACCAATTCTTAATGTGACAAGAAGAAAACAATATATAACTGACAATAGTGTGTGCACGCTATCTTTGTGGACATCTGTATTACGTCTCCAGAAAACAAACAAAAACAAAAAAAGTAAAAAAAATAGCCGTGATGAGTATACAATGTGCACAGACAATGTCCTAGCTTGTCAAAAATATATGACTATAATACATTTTTTACTGAAAAAAAACGTCAAACCATTACCACGACAAGGTTTATGACAAAACCACCACCGAAAAACGTCAAAAGATACAGTTGCCAAAAAGGACGAGAATGATGAAGTAGAGGCTGTATATCATTCCGCCATGGATCCCATCTTGCGACTGGATGCCGTGGTACATTACTTCATTCCAATCTTCTCCCGTCAGGATCTGAAAAGCAACGCATGCAGCTCAATAGCAACTAATGACAAAACTGCGCTAAATCACATTAAGAGTAATAATAATATTAAGAATTTATTTGAACTCCTTGAGTCACGGGTTTGGGGATGCAAACAAATATTGACCTGATGCCCCCTATACTTTTGACATTTCTCACCAAACACAAAAAGAAAAAAAAAAACATGATATAAAAAATATACCTAAAAATTAACTGAATCAACATAGCACAATACGAACGAGAAGAAAACACAAAATTCCTAAATTTAGAAGCGCAAAAAGTAAAAAAAAAAAAACAAGTCAACGATTTTTTTTTTCACCTTTTACATGTGTAGAATAGTACAATATTTTACGAAGTTCACAAGGAAAAACAACCCAGTTTTTAGCAATTTCCATCGCAGTAAGACTGCTTTCAAAACTTTCAGTAGCTAAGACAAGTTTAATTTTAATTTATATAAAAGAAAAAACATTGAAAAAAATACGCAACGATAACTATAGGATGTTAAGCTGATATTTTAATTAACTAATTAAAAAAACAGTTTATTACCATTTCAGCATTGCATTCTAAGCGCTCTGCTTCTTGCGATTCTAGAGAAATCAAACTAACAGTCAATGCCGTTATTACGGTCTTCATATAAAGTTTTAGCATATATTTACAGTAATAATGTTATTGTTACAGCCATGCTGGGCACACCCCGAATGAACCGAGACAACATTAATTATCACATATCTTTTTTTCTTACGGCAACGCGGTTCAAGATAATGGTTTATTCAAAGTTTTCTTTTTCTTGTGTGTGTGTCACGTTCCGGTTTGTGTGCGGCACGGAGGCAAAGGTAAGGTGACGCAATGGTAAAAATTATTATTCTGACTTCAGAGATAAGCATATATAATGTCTCAGTCCTAAGGCGACATTGAAACACTCGGATTTGTAGATAACCTTTACCCGATCGAGGTACTGTTAACAACAAGAAAACAAAGGATGTCTTACATAGTATAAACCATTTCGGTTCTTACAATTCCATTGCCCGGAGTAAAATTTAACAGTCCAGCAAAGGGCGAGATTTCGTCGCTTGGGAAATGGAAGAAGCACACGCCAGACATACGAACGTCGAGGATAGCCACGGTCACAAGTGAGTTACACCAAACTCTGTCTATACTTACTTGAAATACCGTGAGCAAGGCAATGGGAAAAGTGTTAAAGTTGGCCGCAGGTGTACCCTCTTTAAAGTTGAAACTGGAAGTAAAAATAAGGCAAATCAATGAAATGCGCGTTTCTATCGTCTATGATTATTTTATTTACATCGATAGAAGTGATACTAGGTTGTGATGGACCTTGCTGAACGCATTGTTTACTATTTGCATTTCAAAAAAAAAATCTAGTTTATTTTCTTATTTAGTCCGTTTCTTAACGAGGTAAAGCTCATTTAACGGGTTAACCTTTAGTAATTAGAGAATTCCAGGAAATGTTAAAAAAAATTCCAGCACGCTTGTAATTTATTTTGCATAAAAGTTTCGTTAGATGCTACAGAATATAGGTATTAGGACAAAATTAGGACCCAAACGTAACGTTTGGGCGTTACTACCTTATGCCTAATATACAAGTTAAAATTTAGGAAAAAGCCCTTCCTGAATTTTTTTCTGAACATGAACGCCCTTAACCCCGACGTCGTTCCTCTTTTCCACTGTGATTTTGGCCGCATAAAATGTGCGCACGAAGTTTTAACGGGAACACTGACTTGAATTAGACATCATCGGAGCGGTTAATTGGCCACTCATTTATTTTCTATTTTTTAGTCATTAGGCTATAAAATTGAAGCACAAGAGTCGATGCAATTGTAAACCAACTCTGCTGCAAAAAAAAAAAAGTTAGTTTTTAAAATGTCTTTCATATTCAGATGTCCTCGCGACCAATTTTTGATGAAATACGACAAAGGCAAGGCGACAAAAACCCGTCAGATGGTGGTTAAAAAAAAAAAAAAAAAGAAAGCGTAGAGCGTAGGCGGAGTACTTACACGCCCCCAAAGAGTTGCATGCCGAGGAGCGCAAATATGAGGATGAACAAGAACAGCAGAAAGAGCAAGCTGATGATGGAACGCATGCTGTTCAGCAGGGAGATAACCAGGTTTCGTAACGATGACCAGTACCTGTACAGAAAAAAAAACAAAACACGCAGGCATTAACGTCTAGCTTGTGTCGAGAACACGGGGGAACGCGGATTTTACACCAGACTACAGTGTGTCCCCGAAAAAAAAAAGAAAAAAGGAACAATTATATTTTTTCTTTATAGCAAAAAAAAAAAAAAAAAAGTACCCACCGCAGAATGTTTAGTTTTCTAATAAATGCAGCTCCAGCAGCCCGAACCAGATACCGAAGTTTCGGAGGTTGCGGTTTTTTTGGTATAAAAGTTATAAGCGATTTGGGGAACTTTTCAATGGGAAAATGGTGGCCAAAGAAGGCCACGAATACGTGGTGCTGAATGACGTCTGCTACCTTAGACGATCCCCACCTTCCCAGTGAAAGTTTCAGAAGCCCACATGTAAGCGTTAATTAAGATAACGGTTCGTTCTCAAACATTGATATCTGGGCCTGGCCGATAGCGATACATTTAAATGGAGACTGAGTGTTCTGTAACGCGTAGTTTGTTACGACGGTAAAGAAAAACAAAAGCTGCTTTTCGAGGACACGCTCTACGTTGACATGTGAAAAAGAATTTTAGCACCTCTCGTTCGCTGTGCCGTGCTGACAGATGTGAAAATAAGGAAAGTATAGGGTTCAAAAATCCTAAAATGGGATTCCAATACCGGGATCTCGTTGTTTTCTAGACTTGAAATAAGCCTAAATTTAATATGTTCATAAGTGTAATTGCCCAAATGTCATGTGATAAAAACACAGGAGCTAGCTTTTATTCGTTTTTTTTTTAAAGTGCTAAGGAGCTGACAATTATTTGTAAGACAAAAACTATTAGAGCGCAGACTATATATATATATATATATATATAATTTCCTATATTCCTGGATAAAACTCAGGAGCAAATAAAACTAACCCCCTTCCCCCTAAATAAACAAAACCCACACATGCACACACACACGCACGCACGCACACACACAGGTGTAGTGTAAATACCGGGGGTGCGCCTGCCCCAATTTCGCTGAAAGCGGGATTAATCTAGGCATGGCCGTTTGTCCGGTAAATCGGGCACTTAACGTATAATTTTCGAAATTCCCACGTTTGGAACACCTTAATAGTGGGCGCTTGAACGAAGTGAGTGTTTCCGCAGTATTTTACGGTAATATATATATATATATATAAATAGCGTGTTATCAGGCTGCGAGACTCACTATGAGTTAGTAGCGATTCCCGAAATAGACCTCTATTACGAAACATTGACCCGGAAACACATTCTTGTTATGAAATCACTCAAAAGAGCCTCGCAACGTAAATAACGTTTAAAAATATTTTTTTTCTGTGAAATATTTAATGGGACATACATGTCCTATCCAGGTACTCGAAAATGTGCTTATTTGAGCAGTTTAGTGTCTTTTGCAAGCAGGGAATACAAAGAAAATTTCGAAAGCCGTGCTCTTTTCTGGAATCTGCAATGATGAGTAATCTATTTTATCAATGAAAATGTATGAAACGAATTGAAAAAGGTGATCACCGCGAGAACGCGCCCCCTCCAGACGAGTAGGAAGAGCTACTCACTTGGTAAATTTAAATATTCTTAGAAGTCGAAGAGCTCGTAGAACGGAAAGTCCAAAAGAGCCCTCTTTCAGACTGGACCAGACAACTTCAAAGATGCTGCCGGCTATAACCTGACGCACACAAAGAAAAGAACAAAAATAAAAGGAAAAAGGGATGAGAATCTGCAACGTGCTTTTCCTGCTTAAAGTAAAAAAGAGAAAAAAATAACAAAAGGGGAACCTACTACGCAGTCGAATCTGTTGAAGGAGGATTCAAAGTAAATGCGTGGTCCAAGAGCATACACCTTGATTAACATTTCGAAGATGAACAGCCCCAAAAATGCAAATTCTGCATAATCTGAAATGCAAAGCAACAACAACATCATCAAAAAATCACTCGCGGGAAATTATTAAAAAATGATGCTAAACTTCATATTGCGAATTGTTTACTGTTCAATAAAATCCTAGGTGAAAGATACAAGATGCCGTCTTTGGGCGACCGGTCGCGCACAAAGATAAAAAGTTTTTTTCAAACCTGCGCAATATAGGACCCATGACTTCCAGAACTTTGCACGAACCTCTAGAGCTAAAGTATATATGTGTGCCTAAAAGCCTGAATCTGTTGAGGTATTCTGGCTAAATACAAGAATATTGACTAGGTGAATCAAAGTATCCCGTCCGAGAACAAACTAAAAAAAATTGTTATTTTGAGATTAACTGTCCACCTATGGCTGTATATAGTGGACAAAATTAAACACGTGCGTGCCAAACAACAAGGGAGAATCTGATACGTCCCAGCGAAGGGCTGAGGAGTAATCTCGTTCACACGAAGTTCCTTTGACGTGCATCCAAAATCTTAATTTCATGGCACATTTTCCGTGATAAGCACCCTTTAAACTGCTGACATCTCAGCCGGTAAGGGTTCTTATAGGAATTGCGACAGTGGTTTATGAGAGCTCTTAAAGTTTGTATAATGTTTTAAAATCCTACACTCTGCTACAGCTAGTTTGCTATAACTTTAAACTTGGAAATTGAAGCTGACGCGAAATAAGCTAGGACGCCCTAGTCGCTTAAAGCTTTTTTTTCAAATGTAACATCCGTCTTACCATTGAAAGGTCAAACAAAATGTGAGAGAACAAAAAAAAAGTACTTACATAAAAACTTTGTTAAGTATTCATCCTGATTGTGGTGCTCAACAGCAACACACACCGTGTTTAAGAATACAAGCACTATCACAACCCAGTAAAACGTCTGAGTCTTGACGATATGACGGATGAAGAACCTGAAACAAAGAAAAGTAAGGCCATCAGTTTTTTGCAATAACAAGGAAGCACGCAGGAATATAAGGAAGAGCAGACTTTTTCGAGCTGACGGTCAAGATAGGAATACCTAGAGTCCATTTTAGTACGAAAAGCAAGTCGTCTGCTTTTTGCGCAGGAGTCGCGGTGACGTCAGAAGGACACCGAACTCCGATCGGCCTCGATTGAAAGGATAGTGGGTAGAGCTCAATGCTAGATGCCTCGAGGTCTACCCACTATTATTTTAATGAGCCAATTAGAGCTCAGCGTTCTGACATCATCGTAAGCCCCGCCCAAAAAGCAGACAAACTTGCGCTCCACACGATCGCCGTCTGCACGCTGCCATTTTGGTTTCCCGAGTTGTGGAAGGCGCCCGGCGCAGGCGCAGGAGCTCTGTTCTGCGAAATACGAGACGCAGTGCAAACGTTCGAATCCCAATGACTCGACCGTCTTCGCCCGAGTGAAATACGCTGGAAAGGTGTCTGCAGACCCTTCCAGCCTTTATCACACAGGCAAAAAATGCTGAGTCACTGGGCTGCAGACGAATGCGCGGCATCTTACACTTCGGACTAGAGAGTTTACTCCGTACGCTCAAAACGCGTTCCACAGTCCAGCAGGTAAAGATGGCAGCGCCCAGAAGGCGATTGTTTGGAAGGTCATATAATATGTCCCGTAATTTCAGAAAACACAGGCACTTTCACCTGGCAACACGTTTTTTCTAGAAATGGTAAAATGAAGAATATGACTAAGTATATATGCTCTATTTTACCTTAAGTCCAGTCGCAGCAGACCGGTACGGGCTGATGTCAATCAAATCAGACAGGGTTAAAAGCGCACTATTATGGTGTTCGTTATGTTGTTTTACGTTTTCTATCGTCGCTGAACCAATCACGTACAAGGAAGGCCTAGAGACTCGCTCTTTGACACTGTTTGATTGGTCCCATTAGCTTATATCTTCGGCTGCGTCTGGACTTAAGCTGAAACGAACTATACCACCTTGAAACGGCACTGAAACTGGCTTCCCTAGGAGTAAATAGGAACACAAATGAGACCGCCACATTGAAGATGACTTCATATTGCGAGCACGTTCAAGGCCGTCTTAGTTCCTTAAAGCACCAAGCAGGAATGTTAAGTTCACCCGTATAAAACCAACTAAATCTAATCTTAATAAAAAAAAGAAGCGCTCAACGGGACGTACCTGAACCTCTTTTCCATTTTCCAAAATGCTTTACAAGCTCCCTTGTTCTTTATTTTTGTTTTTAAGTAGGAAGCCCTCGCAAAGCCTGCAAAACGGGACAGGGAAAAGGCACGGTTAGCCCCGATCGAAGGCGCCACACACCGCGCGTGGGCGGCATTGCAAGCTCGCGTGAAGCGCGTCGCCGTCAGGCACATCCGGCAGAGCAAGGCGTCATCCCACGAGGCACACTAGGACACGCACACACACACACACGAAGACAGCGGGTTCCAACGGCGGGCTACACGGGATGTCCCCCTCTGCGGTTCCTACTCGAGGACAGAGACGCGCGTCTTTCTAGGCAATGCAGTCACGCTACGGAGAGGGGAGGGGGGCGTCTCACTAGGACAGGCACGGGCCTCTGCGAGCTGAGAGTCTCGGGGGTTTGGAGGGGGGCACGGACGCAACACAGACCAGGAGGCACAGTCTAGGGGGGGGTACGCAGGCCGCGGGGGACGGAGACTGCGAGGCCGCCTCGAGTCGGGCGTCCAGTGAGGCGACAATGCCGGCCGTCAGCCATCCTTGATAGGAATATTTTTTTTTTTTTTCATGTTGTTGCCACAAACAAAAAGTACATGTCTATATTATTTAAAGAAAATGAAAAAAAAAAAAGTTACAGTACTGTAAGTGCAAATTTTTGTGTCAAAAGAAATTGTCGCATTCTACTGTGTGCCATCCAAAACATTTCCAAAACTCTTTTCATCGCAAAAAAAAAAAAAAAAATAAAAAAAAAAAGAACTACGGATCGCCGAACGCTCAGTCTTTGCCCCAATGTAGCTCCAGCGCTCTGCACCAGAAGTCAACGTTTCATAACAAATCGCTAATTTACTGAATAATTATGATTTATTTTCTGAAACCTGCAACTTTAAAATGGGGCTCGCTTCTTGTAGGTGACGCAATCCGTATCCGTGTATCTGTGGGTCCTGTCGGCTCCTTTTTTTTTTCAATTTAAAGTTTCACAAAATGTGTCGATAGTGGTTAAACAAAAAAAAAAAAACGAGCTCCAAACTCTCGTCATCTGGGCTGAACAGCTAGCACTATTTTAGAGCGATGGCTGAGCATCCGACAACGCGTACTCTAATTTTGCTGTAAAACAAAACAAAACAAAAAAAAAATATAATAATTTGCGGGTATGCCTAAAGTTTCTAGATAAGAGCTTTCTACAAGTAGCGACATTCATTTAAAGCGCCGACTGCGTGACGGCGCAGGTTTGAGGAAGAGAATGGTGGCGCCTATCAGAAGACTGAACTGAATGACGCCATTTTGTTGCAGCTGAATGTACGTTGTCACTTGTATCGGTTGTCGTTACTTGTAAAAAGAAGCATCAAGGGACTTTAGCACACCCTGCACAACATGAGCGAATAATTACAGGAAACCAACGAAGTAAGTAAAACCCTAGCCGTTACACATGCACGAAGCCCAGGATGCCTTTAGGTTGTCGACAACAACACCCGGTGTTCGGGATGCAGCAACATGACTGACCGCCGGAGATTGTCTCGACCCTGACGCCGGCGTCGGCGCGGCCCGCGTTCGACAGGTGGGTTGCCCGACTATGGCCCGGATGCGGGGGGGATGAGGAGGTCCCTCGACTAGGGCATGGCACTGCTCTATGGGTGGCACGAGATAGAGAAGAGGGCACGGAAGGCCTACACTGTCCACTAGCGCGCGCTTGGGATCAGGGCCCCATGCCTGTGTACCTTTTAATTTAACCTTCCCGGGTGTCTCTGGGGGCATCGAGAAAGGGACAGACGGTTTGAACGGCCCGACCAGCGGTTTTTGCACCCGGCACAAAGTGGGAGTGCGTGTGTGCGATGGGAGAGAAGCACATGCAAGAGAGAGAAGACAACAGGGCAAAGGCGTTAGTTGGCAGACCGCGTTCACAGCCCCGAGGGACGCACGCGGACACTCGCGACGCAGCCGCGTCGTCGAGACGCTCGGCCGACCCAGAATAGCTCACGGCTGCCGCTAGACTTCTCTTTTGATCGCTACAATCCGACTTGTAGCCAATTGAGCGACGCAAAAAGTGCATCTTCGCGGGGCTCGGTGTCTTTTGTTGGTTTGCTATCACCAATTAAACCAATCACGCAACAACAACAACACAGCATTGAGGCGCATTTAATGTTCGTGATTCGTTTGGTCAATTACGACGAGCTCTGCGAAAGATGTACTTTCAGCGTTGTTGAAGTGAGGCAAAGTATAACCCGTGCTGTCAGACACCCCCAACACAGTGTGCTTAGATTTGAGAATGTTTCCGGATCTTCGATTGGGGTCACACGATTTGTGGGCCATTTGTTTGCGATGTAAGGCGACCGAGTCGAACGTCTGCCAGCGTCGACGCATTGCTTCACCCAAATACTTTACCAGCAGAGAACGCACGCGTTTTGGCGCCGTGGGAAAGAACTGCTCTAAAGCCCGCGCGCAAAGGTCCACACACAGCTGCGTTCGGAGCTTTGGAGCACGAAGCTCCAAACACAGCTGTGTTTTGAACTTTCTTTTGTCCGTCACGTTCTTCCCCCGCTCCTGGGCTACCATGTTAGAGAGTGCCGCGGTATATTACTCTGGCTGTACATGTAGGACGCAGAAAGAGCGACAGCGGCACCAGAAACAGCACGAGAGCGCTTCCTTCTGTGCTTTCTATATATGCTTTCGGAGTTCCCATATAATTTCTACAGAAAGCGTTGGTTTGTAGCGTGATTCATATTATTCATTTTTATACGGCGAATTCGACACAATATTTAGCGAAGTTTTATTGCCAGCTAACATTATATATTTTTTGTGCATTTACGGGGGAGGGGGGGAGACATTAAAGAAAGAATAGTTGTATTTATTAAAAACATTAAAAAAAACACAATTTCGACAAGCGTGATTGTGAAATTCTTGCATATTTATGTATATTTATAATCTACCAGCAGCAGTGCGCCGTTTTTTTTACGTTTTTTTTATTAGATCGATTTTCCGAAACCTCTTTTCGGAAACAAATCGTTTCGACATTTGAATCTCATCTAGTCCGTCGAGACACCGGCTAGTCTTTTTCCGCGTGCGCGCACGTTGCTATGGGCTCCGCAAATGTAGGACGAGTCGCGCTTTTTGTGTTCATTCATCGGCGTTGCTTTGCAAGTTTGGCAGCAGACGCGGCTCCGAATATTTCCTAATGACATCGCAACTGCCTTCGTTGCCACAAGTGAGACGTCGCTGCGGCAAAATTACGAGTATAATGGCGTCATACGAATCGGGCGTCTAAGCTGGAAGACGCATGTCTGAAAACTAACTGCGAATAGCACAAAATTTGGAGTGTAAAACAATAGTTTCTGGCCATTGTGAAAAAAAAAAGAGCTAACTGAGTGTGGGCAGTTAACGTACACAAATCGCTACTATGCTTTAAACGAAACCATTTTGGAAATTTACGTGAAAAAATAAAACATAATAAAAAAAAACTCAAAACCGAAAAACAATGAAGCGCTAAAAAATTGTTCCCGACGTTCTTGCAAAAATAACCATAGATCTGTATAGGTAAATTTTAACAAAATTCATATTTACTATGTACGTGTAATAGATACCTTTTTTTTTTTTAAATGGTATGCAATTATATTTTTATGCTCCGACTTTCGTTCCATTTTTGGCTCCACAACAATAAATTAGAGCAAAATAAATATTTGCATGTTCTGAATTTCGTGCAATTTTCGACTGATTTATTGCGCATGCGTTTCAACCTTTAATTTGAAAGCACATGCGCGAAAAATCAACCACAACTTACACAAAATTTTCTGTATGCAATTGTATATGCGCTATATTTAAAAAAAAACACGAGCGTATTTATTTTATAAAAATTGCAAATATTTTTTTTTTTGTAAAATGCGCACACGCATTTTTCGCAGTGTAAATACCCCCGCGCAGTCTGTGTCTAGACAAAACAAAAATGTGTAGGGAAGGGTTTAGGTTCCGATTTTCATGCCATTTTGGGTTGTTTTCTTCGCATATCTGTTCCAGCTTTCACCCCAGCCAAAACGGTAGTCGCGGGGCACTCCTCCGACATACTGTAAAACCCTTGATGTTTGCGAGCCATTAATTATCGCACTTCGCGAATTAAAAAAATTCTTGAAATTTTGGTGTTTTAAGTGTTTTAAGGCAGGCGTCTGGAATTCGCGAAATTTAGTTGCCGCGATCATATCCTATGTGACAAATTGCCGAAAAATAGGGGCCTCAAAAATAAAGGGTATTACCGTACACGAAATTTTCTCGAGCAAGCGGTCACCAAGTGATCATCCTAATTTCTGTGTCTCTTTAACATAGATGAGCCAGAAACCCGAGCATTTCGCGTTCGATCGTGCCTCGCCTGCACAAACGTTAAAGCAGGGGGAGCACTAGTCAATGCTACCTGCTTGTGGTCTTAGCCTTTTCGGTTATTCTGTGTTAAGGTGAAACGAAGTATGGCGCGGAGCACCCTCGCCGCACTGGTAGTAAAACCCCTAAATAAAAGAGTCGCGTAGTTGTTTTTATAGGGCCTTAGCTCATGTGCACTGTTTCTCAATATTTGGCGTCTCGTTACTTAGTGACACTTTTAAACTCATTTGACGTGACGGACACAACTTATGAAGCCAAGGGCTTGAGTCAATTCCCGTAATTGTAGGTACTGAAGTGCACTAAAGTGTTTGTATTGAAGTGGTGTGTAAAAGCCTTTAAATTTGTTCTTTTGTTTGATCACCCGCATGCACAAACGTAGCCTACTTCGCACCTCCAGACGCCACAGACATGTACCGAACTGACATGCGAAGAATCGAGCTGATGTTCCAAATAATACCTCGCTTGCTTTACTGCCGGAAGCAGAATAGAAGGTTCGCTATGCGTCTATTGGCAAGACAAGAAGAAAAGAAAAAAGGCTCATCTGTTTTGAGAGTTTTTGTTTAGACATGGCGTCATTGTTCGATTGAAACGACTTTATTTCTTGGCATTTCAATTGTTTCTCGGTCGTCAGATGAAAGGAACAAAACAGATATATTTGAATAGGCTTCCATAACATCGATGTATGTTGACGGCCCTGTTGTCACGGCGAGGGCCCCACAAATGAGGACTGGACATTATCACGGTACGGGTGTGTCGCGATAGTCTTAGAAGTACTTTCGAGTACTCAAATATTTGTATTCGCAGGTGGAAACGGCACTTTTATCTCAATAGTGATATACGGTCGCACTACAACCAGCTATGCCCTAACCAGTGTTTTGTCTCAGCAAGAATTAGCTGCTAACTACCTTGACCAATCATAAGCATGAAGCGTACGTGGAACTCAAAAGCGGTCTGCCTGCGTATGAGAATGAGAGGTGCTAAACTTCCGTCATTTCTACAAGCGAGTGTAACGTTAACAAATTTCACCATAGACGTAAGGCAAGCAAGGGTGAATTAACGTATGCCAACAAAATAATGAGGTGGATACATTGGACATCTTTGGTTCTCCAAAATACTCGTAGAAGGAAACTGAAAAGTGAATGGCCGTTGCTGTACGTTTTTGTCTGCAAAAAGAAAAAAAAAAAATGACGGAGCGATATGCATCCACTTTTACAAAAGCGAATCCCTCGTAGTTGGGCATGTTCTGTCAGTTGATTACGCTACCCCACGTGCATATTTTCAACTAGTAACATCGATTTGCTCCCTATGATTTTGTCGCGGGTTATCCGCGCTTTACGTGTAATTAAATAGAAGTTATTTTACAGCCTAAAATTAATCCCGTAGATAACAAATATTCTATTCAAAACAACGCAGGTACAGTAGCCGAAAGAATGCTAATGGTTGCCACGCGCTTTGTGCTTAAACATGTCTCACTCTGTCATCCAGTTTCCCACATACGATGGACTCCATCGAGCGCTGCGGGCCATGCCAGCCAATCCGACGTTGTGAAGATGTCACGTGACTACGTGCCCAGTGCGTTGCTACGCCTCTCACGAAGGCCATGTGACAATCACACAGCACTGGACTGGATCCGAGAGGCTTGTAGCGTCCTCAGCGGTTCATGGTAAGGTGGAACGGAGGATAGCGCACGCTTCAAAGGCATGCTTGCCGCTGGAAACGCGCTTGTTTTTCCAAAACGATTGCGCAACGCGATCCTTACACGAAACAAGGTAGGTGTAAGGCGACTTTTTTGTGCAAGTAAAGAAGCTGGATTGTGTTCATCACGTGTCTTGTGGTAAGGAGGGTGTTCATATGCCGCTGTGGAACAGTTCCTTTTTGTGTTGTATTTCCAGAAACGCGCGGAAGTGAAAAACAAAGGTTGGACTAGTTACCTTCGTCTTCAACATCCTCCTCGTCTTCTTCATCCGTGCTCTTGCTCTGGGTGTTCTTCATTGTTTTCTTTCGTTTTGTCGCAGCTCTCCTTCGAGCTGAAAGGATGACGAGAACAAAGCACGAAGTACTCGTTAGCAACGAGCAGGTGCTCATCACGGGGGGTCAGGAGTTCGCCCTTGGGGGCGTCATGCGGGAAAACAGGCTGGATGCACGGACTTCAATATTTGATCAATCACAATTTCTTTTGCAAGTGCTTGGTTTGAACCAGGACACAGTCAAATAAAATTTCAAAAAAAAAAAAAGAAAAAAAAAACGAGTATGACCACAATTTTAGAATGTTTAGTTTTATGATCAGAATGCAATAAGAAATAAATGCAATAAATGCAGAATGCAATAAGAAATAAATGCACTAAATGCAGAATGCAATAAGAAATAAGCAAAACAACTTTAAAATCATGAAAATGTACTACACAGTGCAATTTTTTTTTCATTTTGGACTACGAAGATTTTAGACCACGAAGATTTTTTGTACTGATCTCAAAAATTAGTGCGGATTAACTTGGACTAACATAAGATATATTAAAGCGCAGATGAAATCCTAGTTACACAGCATTTACATCACAATAAGTCTTGGTAAGAGCACCGCAGTGGGGTTTTAAATCTTCCATCCAAGGATGGGGTTAAACCTTGTCTAACGAATCACTAAGCGGATGTCAACTCTTTTTTGTTGCGTTATATTAAGCCCTTCTGTTTGAATGGCTCGGTATAACGTCTATTTTAAATGATATCCGCTAATTTTCCTGCTTTTAGTTTGGTTCGTTTTAGGGTCTCCTTTTGGTGGCAAAGGTTATGAAGTATGGATAATGCCAGCACAAAATGTATCTGAATAGTCTTCGAATGCAGTGCGTTTTTAAACAATCCCATTTAAATCAACCACCTGGGTTTAAATTTCTGGCCCGGGAAAGCGTGGGCGGAATTAGAACATTAATAAGATTGCTTGAACTATTACACGAAAGAACGCAATGAAAGAAATTACCAAATGTACAGGTTTCTACTGACCTTCCATAATGTGCAATTTTTCTTCTTCCGTCGTCCTCTCCTCGGCCAAAATTACCTCCTCTGTAGAATATAAGAACAACACAGTAATTACAAATTTTGTTCAATTGTATAGCCACTTCTTGGGTGACCCATCGTCTCTACACAATACTGACTTGACATACGTCAAAATTGAAACCATTCACCTTGAACATGTAAAGAACTACTGGAAAAGCAAATTTTCCACTTGATATTACGATTTTATAGGCTATCGACTTAGGTTTGATTAAAATGTTTCAATCACGGCAGCAGATGTCACCATAGGTCATATTAAATATCTGTTGAAACATTTAATACTGTTGAAATTTGGGCGAGTTGGCTATGCATTCTGTCGGTGTAATCCTCGTTCTTCGCCCGTCTTCGCGCTGTCTTTACTTCCTTGGAGCAATTATGCCATTTTATCACTAAGGTTTATGAGTCTGCACATTTAAACCATTTCCTCCTTAGAGACCATGTAGGATGATGAAAATAACCTGCATCGCGAAATGCATTAAGTTTCACTAATTAGCGCATGTGGGGTGAGGAACTCAACATTTCGCAAGGACACCCACTTTCATGACATAAAATAAACGTGAAACAAAATTAACGCTGCCAGCTGAGTCTTAAATGAAACCTCTTATATGAATGCAGTACGTAAAATATATATTGTTTATCGATGAAGTAGAACCTAATACTACACAATGCTGTGATAAAACACACTCTAATCACAAGTTTAACAATATTGTTATTTGTTTAAACAATAAATGACCTTCTTGATGCCCCTCAAGGACCGACTAAGTGCCGTATAGAAGGTAATCGTCCCTCAAAACCACGTTCCCATTCGAAGTAGAGGTACAGTGCCTGGATCGCGTCTTCGACTGGTGTGTTTAGCGTCCTATCCCGCCCATACATCAAAAGTGGTCCCAAAGTGGCAACAATTGACGTCACAGAAGCCGGAGTGTCATGCTGTTGCCTGTCGTGATCCTGGCGGTTTGCCGTAGAAATGCTGGCGAAAAGCACGAGCGAACGCGAGTGTCGCTGTCGTCACAACGTCCCAGGCGTTCCAACTTCCAGCTACCGTACCTTCCGTGGACTGTCACAGTGGAGAGCGACCTGCAGCAGAACAGGCGTCTGCCACACACCACCACTGTTAGGACGCCGCCAGGATCGCGACCGGCGACAGCATGACACTTCTATGACGTCATCAGGCGGAAATCGAGGGACCACTTTTTTGGCCGCGGTAAACACACCAGTCGGAGACGCGTTCCAGGCACCATAGTAGAGGGAGACGTTTTTTCTTTTCTGCCTGGAGTTTCTCTTAGACCTAATCCTTTCGGGAGAGAACAAAACCAAAACGTGAGAGGGAATAAAAGGAAATAACAAAATGAAGATTTTTTCCCCTGGCAGAAGTCAATTTTATCGGTCGGTTTTCAGAAGAATCTTTGTCGAATGGAATTATATATTCATCAGCAGAGTAACGACCGAGGTGTTACGAACAACGCTTCAAGAGGTTACTCAACATGAAATTTTCTTACCCTTTTTTACAGAGGGGTATTTGAGAACGAGGGTCACTATGCTTAACTTCAGCGTCACGGTCCATGTTTCCAACTTACCTGCCTTACAGATCCACTCAACGTAACCGTTAAGCTCCCTCTCCAGCTGCTGTTGCCGCCGGATCTTGAGGAACGCCTGGCGGTTTTCTACGCGTTCTCTCTCTTTGGCAAACTCTCTAAAAGAACACCACAAAAAAAAGATAAAGATTAGATTTATGACAACAGAATCGTTTCATATAAATACAGAACACTTAAACAACTGGACACTTTTTAGGCTTGCTCTGAAAGCTAAGCACATTTCGAGACAGACAACGACAACGTTGGTGTTTTGCGTTACAACACGTGTTTTGCCGTGCCTCTTGCTGTTTAGAGGTTTCAAGCTACCAGGTTGTTTTGACGTTTTCGGTGTTTCTCGGCAATTGTTTGTGAAATAGAATCTCTGGTAACTGGGTTGAGTTTCTCGTTGAGGACGCTGCTGATGCTCTCACCCCACAACCGCAAGAAACTACAGACTCACAGCGTTAAAGTAAGAAACTGCAGAAATTCTACGGTTTCCGGCCAACACAAGCGTGCCACAATAACGTGCAAAAACGCGATATTTCTGCCTCTAGAATGGTGCACGGTATTCCCACGCACGCAATGCGCATATTTTCCTTGGTGCCCTTAAAGTTCATCGACTCCTCGACAAAATCGAAATAATTGATTACATCGTAAAACATAAACTTAAACACCATAACGTACTGCCTTGCTTCCCCATAAATCATTAACATATAATTCCAAGTGCACCAGATGTTAATGAGTTATGCTTTAATTAATATTCGATTCCCATGGTTGTTATCGCTGAAAGAGTAATTTTACCTTATTATTATGCGAGAAATTAGTGCGTGTTACCGCGCTGTGCTGTTTATTACTTAGATACTGCCTGTTTTACTCAAGTTCGTATTATTCCTGTACCTCCAAGCAAAAAAAAAAAAAAAGAAGAAGACAACGTTGCGGTCGGGTTTGCAAATTAGCTTAATAGAAATAGAAGAGCCCAGAAGAAACAATATTAGGTGGTTGACTCAAATTAGCTCGTTTCATAAGGGTTTCAATGTTGTCAGTATGGGCAGGCAAGCATAAATATGGCATGCCAGTTTATGTATGCCAACGTATCTTCGATGCACGTGGAACAAAATTGTTAATAAGGATTATTTAAAGACATTTTAAAAATAGTAAGAATACAGATTTTGGAGGTGTTGCTAAGGCGACACCTTCAATGTCACGGAGTAATTTTATTGTGCTTCACAATAACCCGTATAATTACAGCCTATAACCTCAGGAAAAAAAAAAAAAAAAAAAAGCCCTGCAGAAAAAAAAAAAAAAACTAGCTAAAATTGAAAATGCGTTTTAGAGTTTTCAGTTGATAAGTGTTATCTGAACTGTAGTAATATCAGCTGCTTCAGGATAGCTGTGCATAAATGCTCATGTTTTTCTGTATTTTATTTCAGACAACATAATCGGTTATAAAAGGATATACAACATTAAAAAAAGCGAACACATAATGAACAGAGTTTCGCCAAGATTTTTTTTCCTGAAAATGTTGGTTTCTGTGTTTTGTTGGGAGGTCTTTAATGTAAAGTTTGAATTACACTTTCTTTGATCAGTCGATACAACCACGATCGAAAAAGCGCCGTTCATAGCAGCGCGCTATGCATATATATTAAAAGATTATAAAAATAGGAGGCGTATCGATCACCCGCGAAAAGTTTCCTGACGTCCTTCCTGTCGCAGACTACACGGCAAACTGAAAGGACATCGGGAAGAAGTCACGTGACTTTGGAATATGTAAGAGCGATCGGCCTCCTGGGAAGCATACTTTGCCCCAGCAAGGGTGTTCTTGCGGAGAAGCGCAACAGCAAGAGCGATTTGACCGGCGCAGTTCTTCTCGAGTGCTGGAGGGCTGTTATTGGTATCTAACACGTTCTATAAGGGACACCTATAACCTTTGGAACGGTGTGTATAGGATTCTAAATAGGATAAGAGCACATTGTTACATTCGTTCAAAGTTTATAATACTGATTGTGTTAATTTTGTGCAATGGAAGCAAAAGGTATCATTTCTCGAGAAGTCGAATATTTACTAAACAAACAACACCATTTTTCTACTGCGTAACTATCATCGAGAAAGTTGGGCCTATCATCAATTATATTAAACATTATTTTACGGTTGTGGATACATTAAACAAAAATACACTAGAACGACAAAAAAAAAAAAAGTTTCTCGTGATAATAAGAACGAGCTAAGGGAAGCACAGAGAAGACAACTCACCCACTAAGCACGCCGAGAACTAAGTTGAGCATGAAAAAGGATCCCAGGATGATAAGGGGTACGAAATAGACCCAGTTAAAGGAGTTACCCAAGGCATCGTTAGTCTGCAACGGGCAACACAGGGAAAGTTCGAGTAAGGTCAGTAAGCCCGCATGCACATTGACCTGACAAAAGTTATTCATGCATTCTTGAGTTCATATCTTGGCAAAATTCCGCAAACAACAAAGCTCATGCGACATTTGCATGGAATTGGCATGCACCCGTGTTGTGCCAACCATATAGGTTAAACCAATTTTACCTTAGATTTGCCGAAAGCTAGCTCCCCAACATAGCACATAATAGAGATTCAGCCTTTTCTGAGCTCATCATGAGGTGTATTCATCTGTGCTTGACTAAATTAACAAAGCTCGTGGTAATCTTCGTCCAACTATACCATTTATAATAGCTCTAAATTTGAAAACAAATAAACAAACATTATCTTACTATTTATTAAACTTCGCCAGTCAGGATCAAAACTATGCAGAGTATTAATCGCCAAGTGCGATGAGCCACAAAAGGTAACCATGACTTTGTTTTCCATAATTTTGGCAATACCCAATTTATTTATATTGGATTCTTGCGTTGATCTCGGCAGTTATTTTTCAAAAGGTCGTCGGTAATGCTCCAAATCACAACGGGGGTATCGCCATACAAACTTAATTAAGTAAAATACGCTCGCTCTTTATTGTTTAGCTCCAAGCTCATAATCCACGAAAGGTCAAAGAGTAAAGAGTTAATGCTTATTTAGACAAGCACAACGCAAACACCCTCACAAAGCCAATCACTCTGAGTATTAAGGTGACAAAGACATTTTAAAGCTCAAAATTTGGCGGGCCATCTTCCATGGGGTGGCAAATTTTCTCAGGCTAGGTAAGAACTTGTTTCTTTGTTACGGGCATACACTTAAATTAAACCGCCCCCTCATTGACTTAGCGAGGTCGCTAATTAAGCCTAATGTTGCGTTCCGTTGCGCAAAGGGTTTTGCTTCCGTTGTTTTGTTAACGAAGCGAGAAACGCCACACGTAAAACGAGTCTACACTCTGTTTTACCTTACGATGAACTGCAGGGGACGCTTCATGCCATCCAAGCCAATTTATTATCGTGAGAGCGTCCCGTTTTCTTCAGGAGCAAAGCAGCGATACATAATACGTACAAAGCGGTGGATTGTCGGGGATGGCCCGTAGCGTTCTCAGCGGTTCACCGTACGGTGACACGGAGAACAGCACAGGACTCGAAAACAACAGAGAGCGTGCTTTCGTTTCAGGCAAGAAAGAGGCGACGGGGACGCTCACCCAGTATAAAATGGCCGTCCAACCCTCCATGGTGATGCATTGAAAAACGGTTAACATGGCGAAAAAGATGTTGTCGAAGCTAGTGATGCCGTAATTGGGGCCTATCCAGCCTTCCTTGCAAATGGACAAGTTGTGGTCGCAGATGTACGCGCCGGCCGGATGCGTAGAGTTCAACGGAGAGTCCTGGTAGCAGGGCGTCTCCTGCTCGCCCTCAGGAACAATCTCGGCTGAAAAAAAGAAGAAATGTTTTTTTTTTATTCTGTCACGTCGTGCATTTCATTACCACTCCTATCTGAGCCATGTCGGGTTAGGAGTAATTATAGGCCCGTTTCTCTCGGCCAGATGGCGCTGTGGCATCCGCGAGACGCGACCATTTCATGCTGACGTGAGGCGACGCCATAGCGTCACATCATACACGAAACACGAACGTGTACTGGCGTCTGTCAATGGCCTTCGGCGTCTGTCCACACGCACCAACAGAGCGTTTAAAAGAATACAGCGCGACAGATACAGGCAACCCGACTTAAAAATGTCAGATCTTGCTCGAACAAGGGCGCTGTTCAAAACTCGACAGCTACAGGTCTACAACGTAGGTCGGTTGCAAGACGAAGGCGGCAGACTGAGTCGCCTACGAAACGCTCCACCGCACAACTTCGCCAATCTATTGGACTGGGAATGATCTAGACAGAGAATGGTACTCGCATGTATCAAGTCGCCAAACGTATTTCCGTATCACCAAACTTAGCTATAATTAAAGGACATAAGCCAAGGGAAAACAATCTTTTTTAAACAGCCTGGATGAAAAAAAAAAAGATGCCATAAAACGAATTTACAACAATAAAAAAATAATTTAGAGCTATATTTAAGGCGCGACACGAATTTGTAGATGGCGCCTGCGGGAACCGCCACTAGTCACGCACTAGTCACGTGGTAGGCATGTGCGCCACCGTGCTGCGCCACCGTGCTGCGCCGCCGCCGCCGCAAGTTACGCCGGAGCCGTCAGCGCCGTCTCAAGTCCCCAGAAGAACCACCACAACCCCCCCGCCGCAGCCACGCCGGCGCCGCAAGCGCCACCGTCTGAACGCGTTTTACTCCACGCCGCCGCCGGAAGGGAACACTCCGGTGCGCCGCCGCCGTCTATTTCTGACCGGCGCACAGGTCCATCACGTGCTGCTTGCGCTCCCCCGGGATCTTCCTATCGTCTATAAAGGTTACGTATTAATCTTGGTTTTTTTGTTGCACTTAAAACGAAAATTGTTAAATAACTTTTAGAGCCGATAGGAAGCTCCCGAAAGAGCGCAAGCACCACGTGACTGTAGCAGTCACTTTCCCGCGGGCTTCTGCGGGTGCCAAGTAAACTCCGTTCACCCTTAAACTGAGACTAGAAGCTCCACCTTCAGTGCGAGCTCGCTGGCTTCCACAGTACCTCTGTTGCGCGCGTCTGCGCGTTCACACTTGTGTTAGCAAGGGCCGAAAGCTCGTGCTGAAGGCGGAGCTTCTGGTCTCAGCTTAAGAGTGCACGGAGATTACAAATTCGTTTCGCGCCGTAAATATAGCTCTAATTTTGTTTGTTGTATATTCGTTTTGTGATTGTTTATGAATGTTAAAAAACTTCTTTTTTTGTTTGCTTGGCGTATGTTGTTAATGAAGCTTACATTTAAGAGAGGGAGCGGCTGAAGTTATTGAGAGCTTTCGTATCATAATAATGGTGGACATGTCCCACGGAAATTAGTTGCTTGTGAGTGAGTTGGCGCGGCAAGGAGGATAACAGGCGGAAAGGATGAGTCATCCCTAAAAAACGCTTGCAGACGGTAATTGCTTTCGCCTCCTCCTCGCAGTTTGTATTAGAGGATGTCCATAAACCATATCACCCCGATCGATCAATTGGAAACTCTACACAATATGGCCATACTAGCTGTACTTTATTCAGTCTTTTACTGAGAGTGGAGTCAAAGACCTTCAAATCCCCGACAAGATTCCACGCGACCAAAGCGACAACAGTAAACACAAATGACGCGTGCAGTAACATGATAACCCTGCCAGTAAGTAATCAATTAAAGAATGATTAAATATTTTATTTTGCGTAAAAGTGCAAGGAAGGAATTTAGAAAGAAAAAAGAAATAAACGGGGACACTAACATGCGTATTTTACAGATTTCTTCTTGCATTTTTGAAAGTAACTAAGCATTCTCTAAATCGCATTAACTTCTTAAAAAACTCCGTATACGTGTTGGTCAGATTTACCCCAATCAAAGAGTCACGAGCTAAAATTAATGGCGACCAGGTGACAGAAAGGCGCGTATTAAGAGGCGACAAAAATGTTTTTCAACTTCGGAAAAAATAAAACGCGTTTCCACCTCCGGAGCTAAGCGAGAACTACAAAGCAAAATGATTTGTTGGCCTAGTTGGTTAAACATTACAAAAATTAAAAAGCGCTTGTCCTGTGTTGTCTCCCTCTTGTCCTTGCCTTTTGCGCTTTTTAATTTTCGTAAAGAGAACTACAAAGTCGCTTTCAGAGACGTCAAGTTTCAAACGCAGCGTTTCCACGCGAACCACTTCGAGCGAGCGTACCAACAGGCAGAAGTGTACTTACTGGCATCCTCTAAACTGAAGCATGTTTTGTGTAAAGCACCGCTGTAAAATTCAAGGCCGATTATGGCAAATATAACAATGGCGAAGAGAACAAGAAGTCCTATCTGAAGCAATGGCGCCATGGCTTTGATGATGGACTTCAACACTACTTGAAGGCCTGAAAAAAGGCAAGGAAAACAAAAACGAGCATGTAACCGAAATTTCCGGAGCTCTTCGTCAATGCCATTACTCCGGGTCAGTTTACACTGCCACAACCTAAATGCGCACTACTCAAAACCCATTCCAATCCTGCTATTCAACGAGGAAAATGACGATGTTCAGATCTACAAGTATCTCTTTCGAGTTCAACGACATAATCAAATGAGACTAAAAGTACAAATCTTTTTTTTTTATTAGTCTAGCGTTTCCATTAGTGGCCGGTAGTATAAACTGACCAGGGAAATATTATTTCTACTCAAGCGTCGGCTATTTATACTACCAAGAACCAAAACGGAGTAGGACACAACAACACAGGGGTCCTCTGCATGCGTCTAGTTTCTACTGCTACACGTATCGAAGTGCTGATCTACACAAGCAGTGAACGCCGACAACATGGACACAAGTGCACGAGTTGATGTGTATTCTTCATAAGAATTACATTATCTGGAATGCAATAGCGAAGTACTCTATCTATAGTCAATGACAGGTTAAGAGGTAAGGGGAAACTTTACCCCACCTTATTCCACTGTGGCAGAGCAAAACACTTTGAGAGGAGGCGACCTCCTCTCCAGCGTCCGCCCTGCTAAAGTGGAAAAAGGAAGGGGGAGTTTCCCCCGAACTCTTCACCTGTCAACGAATACAGAGGGCAGTTCAACCCGCGCCATATTGAGAAACGTTGACCCGATGTGAATATGATGTTTGCGTTTAAGTTATCAACGCATGCGAATCGCTATCGATGTTTGTCTCTGAAAGAGCTAACGTTATTCTCGTAAAGAAGAAAGTGATCTGAGGTTGAAAGCTTAGATCTGTCATACAAACAAATAACCTTCTTTTGATTGCGTTCTTTCTTCCAAAATTATATCCTGGTAGGAGATATGAGAAATAATAAGCCTATTATTATGGTCCCTCACAAATCTTGAAAATAAATAAGGTTCAAGAACTGTGACCCTGTTAATTTAACATTTTACCTTTCCCTTAAGAAAAAAGGCCACCCAGCTAATGTAGCAGCCAACTTCTGGCTGCCGCAATGCGGGGATTGGGCAGAGTATTCTGCTGGGAGGCCTTCGCTACGATACATAATTACGGACCAAGCGTAATAATGAAGGCAATTATGCAGCTTGTATCGTAAACTCTCGCCGTATGAAATAAAACAGCACAGCCTGTGATATGCCGTTCTGTAAATACGCCACTTTTCTGAGGCGCTGTGCGTGTTTTTATCTCGAGTCTGCAGTAAACGAATAAGTGCCAAACATTTTTCGCGTGTGACGAGACTTACTTGGGATTCCGGAGACCAGCTTCAAGGGGCGAAGCACCCTGATGGCTCGCAAGGTTCTGAGATCTAAGTCTAAATCTTCCGGTACAAAGTAGGTAACAAACCTGCAAGCAGACCAACAGGGGGGCAGGGGCACAGGGCCAGCCAAAATCTAACTACACAGATTCTAACTGTTTGTTGTTTTTCACTACAGTACGGACAAGCACCTAAAAGAGACCGGTCAGTGAAGTGCTCAAATAGGCCCTTCCACCGGTCTCCCTGATGAAACTCGCTCCTCAGCATGCAATGAAAAAATGTTCCCATATATCTCTCTAGAAAAGTATTCGAAGGGACAAATTTTTGGATCAATCAATTTTTCTTTTTCGATCTAGGATCTCTTAGTAAAAGTAATGCCCACAGCGTTTTGTCGGCTTCTTGCATTAGACAATTTCAAAATTAACACAACAAAAAATTCTCCAATTTTTATAATCATCTAATATATAATGCTGGCACAAATTTGTAAATAAATAAAGTCACAATTTTTTACGTGGTGTATAAAATAAATTGAAGCAAAATCTACCACGAGACTACATTATCCACAGACCTTAATCTATTCAGAACGCCTTGGAAAAAAGAAAAGTAATTAAGCTCACTAACTTCACAACTGTCCATTTCATGGTGAGTTCGGTGGCTCTAAAACGCACACAAAAAAATTTTTGGATTATGAAAAAAAAAAAATCTTTCGATAATCCTTCGAAACGTTTTCTAAATGAGATTTTCTACACATAAACAAAGGTCAACTACAGTCTATGAAGTCTCAACCAAGAAATACAGTACACGCATCCAGGGTATTTGTACACAGAGATCATCCCAGAAGAAAGTAAATATATCTATTTTCGCATGCAGGGAATAGGACAAAAAATCAGCGCCCCAAATATGCACACACGATCTGGACAGAGCGCTCAAAGTCTGGACGGTTGACTTCAGCGCTCGCCTACACGCACTAACTATTGGTCTGCCCAGGATGCTGCCGCACAACATACTTACCATTGTTTGAAACGGGCAATTTCGAGCCTCCAGAAAAAAAAACAAAAAAAAAAAAACAGCAACCATCGAACGAAAAATAACAGGAGGGCAACTACCTACTAGATCACCAGGTGATCAAATTAAGTTGGAAACATCATCCCTGACATTGCATAAGACGCTATGCAGTGTAGCCGCATGATTCTAAGGAGACCTCAGCACATCGCCCTATTTGATTGATCACGAAAGAAGTCTTCACAGCCAAGCTTGCAGCGCACACTCATTGTGATGTCACATGGTACCCTGATTTGTTTCCGCGTTGTCGTTTAAAGGTACTCCCTCATTTTTCCGCAGTAATTTGCGGTTGATGCGAAGATCCCTGAAGCGGCACAGGGAGCCTGTCACACAAACGAGTGAACGGCCCATGCCACGAAGCATGTAACATCAGTCGCTAAGCGCATCAATCTTTGATCCCCTAAACTAGTCCTAGGAGCTACTCGTCGCGACTTAAACGGGGCAGTCACTTCGGGGGCGTTTCAAACTACGCATCGCAGCTGCGGCCATCGATTCGAACGAATTCATACAGGCACACGCAGCTCAGGACGGGGAGGTGCAAGAGGACCCCAGCCAGCAGCGCACACAGCGCGCTGGTCTCGGAACCTATCGAACAACGGCTACGTTGCACGCCCACTACAGCACCGACACCAGTACCATCACCACGAATCACAACAGCACGGTCAACGAAGGAAATGCAGGTAAATCCGAAAGACAGTTTCCATTCCCACGCAAGGACACCTCTATCCTCTGCACAGCCGGATGCGGCGCCATCGCTAAACGAGCAGACTTCTCTACTAATGGCGGCCGCGTCAACGGTCTGGCCACACTGCTGGTATACTCTTGCAGACAGGACGACGACGCTACCACCGCTCCCGGTCAACGGAAAACGCGGCGGAGCGCAAACAGCGAGAGTGAACGCCGCGTGACGTAGGGTCAATGGCCAAGCCTGTGATTGGCTGGCGAACGAGGGGGGCTCCGATTGGATACGAGCGTTGCGTCAGCGTGACGACTCCATGACGTCACTCCCCACGTGACCCAACATCACGCTGAGGGCATTTGTTTCTCGCCGCGCAAAACGGCCCGCTGCGTTTCAAGGCGCCGGTTCGAAGAGCGGGATTTTTTTTTTGGGGGGGGGACACCGACGAGACGCGACCAACTTACTTGGTGTGCGAGACACTAGTTTTAGTGGACGCAATACTCGGAACGAGCGCAGCATTCGCAAGTCTAAGTTCTCCGTCTGCTGCACCGATATGTTCATTATCCTGCAAATCGAAAGGGGGTGGAGTCATGTCGGAACACGTAGCGGGTGGGGGCGAACCGTTTCCTCGTTACGGATCGGGCGGCTCAGATTCGATAGCTAATAAGGGAACGACGCATTCCCCTTTTGTTCGATGGAGAACTGAAAGTAAGTCGTCCGTGGTGCCTCCTAATTTGTATTCCAAATATCCGGGATCGCCATAATCGGATCAGTGCGATTGAGATGAGAGCTGTTTGCTCCCTCTTGGAATGAACTAGAATATAAATTAAACTGTCTCAGGTGGTAGTGTTTGTCTCTAATATTAGGGTGTTTCCGCCGATTATTATTCCTTCGATGCCACCTAAACTGAATGCCATGCGCCGCTGCTTATGTGCATGCGTTGAGGCATGCGGCCGAACAGACACCTGTCCGAGAAGAAAAAGAAAACACCCCTGAAGGTCGCGAATTGAAACAAAGTTACCCCTCGAACATTTTTATTTCTTTTCGTGCTGACTGGCAGAGAAGAGCCAGAGTACATGTAACCAAAGTGAGATTAATACTTTTTTTTTTTATCTCCACCTTACTATACTGAACGAACGCCCAAATGGATAGGCCTTGGTCACGTAGTTGATGGCGCGTAGCTGGCGCAAAGTATATAAGGCCACTATGTAGAAGACGGGCTCAATCTTTCCGTAGCTACTCTGTCATAAACTTCTTAATAAGTAACATGATTAAAAAAAAATTGAGATGAGGAGTAAAGGATGGCTTCCGAAAAGCGGCAACAGGAACGGATGACACCCCCTTGTGGCGAGGAGTACCGCGTTCTACCGCTTGACGCTAACGATGCGAACGGCAGCGGTTTCGCGTGCGATTTCAGCAACCTTCGAGCGCTCTACAATCGAATCTGAGAGAAGGCTTTTCAAAACTAGCAAAGTTACAGGCTGCTTTGCGTGCCGTGATAGTTACTCAGTTATCTGCCCTCCTCGCTTAGTGGGGTCACATGCCATAGCTATAGGGCTCAGTGTTTTCGTGGTTTATTTTTCTTCCAATTCGGGGTGTTTCCCCTTTCCGCCCCTCCACGGTATCCTACTTTCTAACGGGGTGTATCTAACTTACGCCCGAGACCCAAATACTTGAAGAACGTCATCCCGGTACCGCGAAAAAAGAAGACGGGGCGAAAAACGTGGTTTAAAAAAAGGGGAAAAAAAAAAACAAAAAAAACCTCAAGGACTGTTAGTAAGGGTTCTGTTCAGATTCCCAACAAAACAACTATGCCGCATATAATTCTTTTCTTTCTTCCCCAAAACACGGGATTTTTTCGTAAACATTTTTTTTTATTCGAAGCAAGATATAATTTGAGGATTTTCGGCTTTTCCCGATTCCGAAAACAATCCTTCGAGGGTTATTTATCCGGGTTTTTCGGTATTCACTGAAAACAGGAAACCCTAGCGAGCTCCTTTCCAGTTCCAGCTTAGTTTCGAGAGTAGAGAGAAGGGTTCGCCATCCACCTCCGACGTCTTCAAGGCGACGACTAGCACCAAACTGTGAAGTGTTCGGACCCGGGCAGCTGGAGCACGGGACTCGCCGTCCCCCTGACTTCACCTGCGCCGCCCACAAGACGACGGACGAACGCTGGTTTCTTCCTCCGATCATATTACGCAAGAAACTTTGTGTAGCCACCGTTTCTTTTTCTCCTACTTTCCAATAAAGCCTAGGCGCGGTCTTGAGCGGTGGCAATCTCAATAGAAAAAGGCGTCGCCCGCTCACCTCTAGCTTTCATCATCGAGTATTTATAGACTTTCTCAATAACCTACAATTTGAGAGACGCAGGGAGTGGTTAACTGCACCCACACTTTTTACTTCGTAATTGATTTCTTCTGTTTTTACGATCCAAGCGTACCATGCTAGAAAGTTCTTAAGCTATCATTAATTTTAACGGTCTAGCTGCCGTTGCTATTGGGTAGAATGAGAATCGTGCACGGAAGGTTTGTTGTTTAGGAGGAATATCGTCGAGATTGGTAATGAAGTATAATGGAGGGTGACGTTAGAATCAGAGCTCTGTTTACACGCCTAGTTCCTCTGAGATGTTAAAAAAAAAAAAAAAAAAAAAAAAAGAAGAGAAAATTGAGGTCCTTCAGATCGGAGACGGGTCGTGACCACAAGACATACCCGATCGCCCTTGCTCTTGATAGTCAGAAAGGTATCTTTCAGTCTCAACGATATCTTACTCGAACCGCGGAGTCCGGTTGAACCACAATTACGGGTACATCCTAATCTTCCTTTCATCCTACGACGAAGAACACAGGGCGCCATGAGCCACCGGACCCAATCCAATGCCACCCGAGTGTCACGTGGTCTATGGGAAGGACTCAGCAAAGCGTCGGTTGCTAAGTTACGAAGAAAAAAAACAAAAACGTACGTAGCGTTGGATTAGCCGAGAGAGCTCGCACCGCCCACGACGGCCCATGGTAAGGTTAAACAAAGTATAAAGTTATTTTCCTTTTCCTTTCTCAATTTACAGAGCAATTTTGGGTTAGTGGAAGGATTTCACCCTACAGGAAAACTAACCAGAAAGACGCGTTCACGACACAACACTGGAGAGGCGAAGGGGGGGGGGGGGGGGGGGCGGAACCCACTTATGACAAAATGCTGTATGAGAGGGAGGGGGAATAGAAGGTCCCAGCAAAATGGAAGATTTCGGGCCGGGGTTCAGGGGGGGGGGGGGGGGGGCTCCATGGGCCTCCCCCCCCTGGCTACGTGGCTGGGGGAGGGGGGGGGGGGAGTGTAATTCTGCGATTCCGCTTACCCCGTGACGACCACCACGAAGTCCATGATATTCCAAATGTTGCGGAGGTAAGCTCCGCGATGCAGTATAAATCCTAAGGCTACAATTTTCAACAGTGCTTCTACGCAGAAGATACCTAGAAAGTAAGGCTCTGTTTTTTCCTGAAAAAGAGAGAGGTGAAAGGTAAGTAAGCAGCAAACCTCGGTGGCAACAGGTGAACACTTTCGTATTTTATGGAACAATGGCTACGAAAGTGTAGGCAATGGTGATGATAATGACGGTGGTGGTAATGATGTTTTTTTGTTTTTTTTTCTTTTATGAAATGATAAAAGGAAAGAGACGGGTGTATGGGGAATTGGTTAGTCTTGCAATAGAGAGGAAACGTGCACGCTTTTGTGAGGAATGGAAATCAAAGAAGAACGCAGGAGAGAGAGGCGTGCATCCACAACTGTGACATAAAAAGACCATCTCAAATATCGCTAAAAAAAACATATTTTTGTGCGTGTGCTCTTGATTTCGTGGTAAACAGGTGTGTGGGCCTTCGGATTCGGAGAAAAAAATGAAAATTTTGTTAATAGTTTAACAGAAGACAGTAAATAATAATAATACAAAAACAAGTAGACTTTTTGCGATGGTCATATTATACGTCCCAGCGCAAGAATGAACATCAATTTGGACCACGTGAGGATTTTTTTACGTTATTTATAGAATCTTCAAATTTCGGCCACTTCGGTCGGGATTTGAACTCGCCAAATGGGGATCCATGGGCCGGAGCTTCGACTGGAATTTACCGAGGTGGTTTAGTATAAGAACACTTAAATTACTTTTCATGGTTTGCAAGTAAGGGACATGTCATTAAAATGTAGCCTCGTGTAACGGACATCACACATCGAAGAAAAGGAGCGTCCGATAAGGTGGAGTGTTCTTTTCGTATTAAAGTTTCCAAAACGGCATATATTCTAAAAAAAAAAGAAAAGACAATTGAAGATTTTATTTGATGAATGTAATTTTCGCGCTTATACTTTAACATATTAACGAACAAACGCGCGATAAATAAAAAGAAATTAGGTTATTTTTGCTAACAAATGCCTAGAACAGAGAATACAGTATATAAAAAGCGAAAAAAGTACAAAATAAGAAGTTCCCATAAACTACAACGTTTTCCACGGACATTAATTATCGCCAGTAGGTAGACGTTCGCTTATCGTCATTTATACGAGATTCAGAAACAATGTACATCCAGCTATCTTACATGTACTGAATTGAACGTCCAAACATTACATAATAATTACCGTGAACCACTGAACGTCCGTAACATAAATCTACGGTAAACGTCGATACGATACTTAAACATGCAACGTTCCGTTCCACAAAAAAAAGACTATATATATATATATATATATATATATATATATATATATATATATACATACACATAAAATAACAATAAGAGCCTAGAGTTAAGATTAATACCACCAGGGACGGCGCCACCGCAAAGCAGCAACGCGCGACGCGGAACTTTATCTCCCGCTCGTCTTTCCGAACCCTGCCCCTAACATGTAGAGAGCGAGCGGCCGTAGTCCCAATTAGAGACCGCCACCCCACGGGACAGCCTGGGGCTTCGCGAAGACGCGGGCGCAGAGGACCACGCGGCCGTCACCAGCGTCGTCGGCGCCGGCCCCTCGGGCCGGGACCGGCGTCCAAGCCCCGACCCGCCGTCGCCGCCGACGCCCACGCTCGAGGCACGACGACGCGGCATCGACCGCCGCAAACGCGCGCTCGCGCCAGTACCGCCAAGGAGACAAGGCCCGCCGTGCATGACGTCATCACTAGTGGATCCCTAAACCGCCCCCAAGCGGCAATTATGCTGAAGCTCAATGGGACCCGCCGCAAAGCGGCCGACGCGCGTGTTTTGCGCGTCGCCGCGTGATATAGCGTGGTGGTCGTTGTGAGACGCGGGTAAAACGCGCTGGCGGCGACGCTGACGCAAGCTAGGTGGCGCTGTATGAATCCACTAGTCAAAGCGCTGGATTGATGTTATAAACAAGTACTGCCAAGCTGGTGCATGCTGAAAGCACTTGAACCAAAAAAAGAAAAGGAGCACCGACGCCAATCTAGCTTGTCAGAGCGGCGTGGCGCCGGCATGCGCAGTAGATCCAATAGGGCCGTGCTCGCAAACGGCGGCGTGTCACCGGCAGCCAAAGCAGACCACATCCAGACGCGTCCGCGTCTGGATGTGGGATGCGCCATGAGCCAAAAATGGCGACGCGTCGCCGGCGCCCAATAGGAGCGCCCGCGGTACGATCAAACCATGGCGATACTTGGATAAGTCAGGATATCCAACGATTTACCACTATGGTGACTTCATTTTAAGTAAATGTCAGAAAAAGACAACAAAAACTGGCTAGGTGGCGCAAGCTGCCGCCCGATTGAAATGGTTTAACCGCATCCATCCATCCAGTGATGACGTTTTGGGAGAAAATGTGAAGGCCTTGTCTTCAAAGTGGTATTGCTCGCGGCCGCCGCCGAAAGCCTCGTTGTGGGATTGACTGTTCGACAACGCCGCCGCCGCCGCCTCTATTACCGTCCGCTATTGCTACTGCTGCTTCTCGGGTAGTGGAACGACAAAATAGTAATAATAATAATAAATAAATAAAACACACAGCAGCGCGTGTTTTTTTTTTTTTTGTCTTTTTTTCCCCCTTGGGAACTGTGCGGCAATTCTGAGGCGAGGCGTTTGGGAACGTAAAGTGGGCTCCCTATCAGTTCACCGAACGCGTCGTTTCACATGGATGGACGCTTTCGCGCATGGAGCTCGTTTTGGTCAAATAATATTTCGTCGAACGTTTTTTTTTTTTTTTTTTTGGTGGCCGATAAGGTTTCTTGCAGGGCCATCCTCATCCTGCCTGTGGCATCGTGGTATCTTTTGGATTGCGATGCGAGTGTCGCGGGTTCCTTTATTATTATTTTGTTGTTGTTGGTTGCTACAAAGTCACGAGGTTTTTATCTCACGCGTACCAAGAGAGAGCGAGTTGAGCGTGGTAAAGTTGCGGCGTTCTCTCGTTGAGACCGCCGCCGGTTAACGTTGCTATGCTTTACAAAAAAATTGCGCGTTGTAAGGTTGCGACCAGATTCGACAGCCTCTCCAAGGCAGTGCCAAGTCGCTAAACTAGACAGGAAACCGCCCAAACGCGAAAGAATCTACCGGTTTCGGAGTACGTATACAGTGAGTGTTCAATTTTTTTTTTTTCAAGCGGAACCGACAAGTTAGGCATTGCAATCTCTCACCTTAAGGGAACGAAGACAGTCTTCAACTTTTTGTAATCTGCGTATTTTAATCTAACATAAAAAAGTAGGGCGTTCTGTATATTTGAACGATTGATTTTTGTGAAACGAAAGCTTTCAAACAAGAAATCCAGGAGAACCTTTTCTCCCTCCATATCTCGATAGAGTCATTCTAGAACAATCATGTGACGGCACAGTTGAGTAACTGCGCATGATTCATGCCCAATCCGCGCTTCAAAGTTCCTCCCGCTGCCTATGCTAAGAACATAAAAAAAGCTGTATATTAAACCTCTTTAAAAAAAAGCAATATTGCTGTTTTAAGAGAAACAGGTTTTTAATTGTCTACTGTTGGTTATTTATCTCTTTTGTAATATTAGTCCCAAGATATAAATGCGCGCTTACGGGAGCATGACTCGTAGCATTTTTGTTTTCTTTCCGAAGGTCGTTTTGTTGACGGTATACTCTGGGCGTACAGAGTCCTAACACAGCGTTTCACCTCATGAAGGACAGCAGCGGGCACTATGAGACATCGGATTCACTAAATGCCGTGTGAGTCTCACATGATGTTCCAGCTCGTTACAACGTCAACCTCGGAGATACCTCATCTTCCCTCGCTTTAGACTAGACGAATAAAACGAACGCTCGTAACTTCCTTTTGTTTCACGTTTAGTTCCGAGTCGCTCTTTGTGGACCAATCAAGTCTAGTAGGGTACGTTGTTGGGCTAGCTGGTTGATCTTAGTAAAACATAAAATAGCGCAAAAAAAAGACAAGGACAAGAAGTATACAGGACAGGCGCTAACTGTCAACTAGTTTTAATCAGGAAAAGTAAACGTATATATATATACACGACCGGCAAAGCAGCACGACGTAAAAGTTGATTGATTTTTTACCCGATCACTCAAAAACTGAAATTTATTACAATGAAGTGCAATAGAAGTGTCTGACACACGCCGTGCCACTTTTTTTGATAAAGAAAGCTTCCAATAGCTCTCGAGCGACCGTCTGTCGGCTTCTTCCTAGTATCCTTATCTGCTGAAGTCGCAGAACACAGCCACACGTGTGGCAATGCATTGGCAAATGCGAGCCATATTTATTTTTACTGATAATGCGTGCTCCCGTGCTCGGTCACTGATGCACCGCCCCGTCTGGCCCGATGTATACCTTTCCACAACTCAGTAGGATTTCGTAGACCACACCCACCGTGCAGTCCACGTAAGGGGTGACGTGTTTCTTATCATATGGTGCTTTTGACTTCTCATCAGAAATACGAGCGCACAATTCAGCCAACTTCTTTGGGGAAAAGAACACAACGGGAACACCGTACTTGCTTGCAACTTTCTTCAGATTGTGGGCAACCTTGTGGATGTACGGAATGACTTCTGATCTTTTTGTTCTCTGCCTCTATTGGAACCTTTCTTTTCAACCCCTTCATTTTTGTAGGGCGGTTTCCGCCACAGAAACCAATACCGAACGCGGGAAGCCAGCCAATTCCAGTCTAGAAATTTTATATTTAAAACTAGCCGCCGCCTGATGGTCACAAGACTTCAGCACTGCGGACTCCAGGCACGAAGTTGCTATAGCTCTCTTAACGGTCTTTGAATGCGCTGAATCAAAAGGAAGTAACTCTTTCCGCGCGCGAGGTCGATACATCCAGCACACACGTCGCTCGTTGATGGTGATGCTAATATCTATAAACTGCAAATGATTGTTGTCAGGGAGCTTATGAGTAAAAAGTAAACCTTTCCCATGTTGTTCAAAAGCTTCCAGAATACTTTCTACTGTATCA